TTGGCACTGGAGCGTGAATTCCCCAAAAACGTACAAATGTAAATACGACAATGGCTCTCGAAAACAACTTTAAAAATTAAAACCTGTGCAAATTACCGGTCGGCGTAGGTTTGTTTAAGGCCAAATGCAGATAAATGACTGGCGCAATTGCAGGTTCCACTCTTTCTACCGACTTAATTCCATAATTCTTTCCTTTTGCTCAACGTCCATTGTCTCCGGCAAACAAAAGACGAATATACAAGTAAGAAAATAAAATTTTGCAGGCCTCCTCTAAAAGTACGTGCCGCTGGTCAGGTATAAAAACCAGTGGGCGGGCTAGAAAATGAATCCCTAAGTTTCCTGGAGACTTTGGAAATATATATTAAAAATATATCAGCTTAATTTGAGGGTCAACCGGCTCATGTTTCGCGTCATTAAAATCAGCGGAGATTCTTCTTCTGCCGCACCTGGAAGGGAGTAATATATCTATTTCCATGTTGACATTGGTGATTGGGCTTAAAATTCCCCTCAGTCCTTGATAAAGGCAACCTGCGTGACCTTTTCACCAAACAGGATCCACCTTTAGCATACTCTTAAGTGTGTTTAAAATTTGCCATCCGCCGACGGACATAAATTATTTCAGCCCAGGTGGCAACGAAAAATGATTCTCATGAACCTGCGTGCCGCACGTGCTCCCTCAAAGGTCAACCGTCCAGCGTCTAGAATTATCGAGTAAATGAGAGAGGGAAGAAGCCAACGATAGATAAGTTTGGAATGGAAACAACTTTTTTTAAGGAAGATGAAAATTATTAGTTATTAGGAAATCTTCAAGTAAATGCTTTACAGAGTTTTATAAACCAAAAGTTGTATTGCTTCTTCCAAACTTGTTTATAAAAATTACTTAATTATTAGGAATTTTTATGAAAACAGCGAAATAAAATCTCAAGAACACATAGACAAAATGTTTGCCTTATTAAGTTGTAAAAGCAAATTAATTTTAAGAATGTTGCTTGTACAAGGTGTGGTTTTTCACCATCAAATTTTGTATAAAATCGTCGCCAGCAGATTTATTATGCCAGCAATTCTTTCTCTGACCTCCATCACCGAGATTTAATGGGCTGCTTACATAAATTAAGTGGTCAGAACGCGTGTTTCTTTTCTCTTCTGCGACATTGGTCCATTTATAAAATTCTCATTAAGTGTGCAATGAGCAAAAAAGAGCCAAAGTGCGGCCTTGGTGGTTTACACTTTTTTGTCTAATAAAATATAAAGATGCAGATTAATACACGGTGGTGAGAACAAGAGTGAGAAAAAATTTATTATCGCCAGCGTAACCTTCGAGTCTTGGGATTAATGGCAAACTTCATCAGGCGAAAAGAAATCAAAAGTAGGCAAGAGTGGTTTTCTGTTTGCCCATCAAAGCCAATTGAGCACATCTCGCTTCCTTGAACGCGCCAGAGTAGGAAGAAGAGGAGCTTCTTGTTCTCAAATGGCAGACACGAATTTGCCATTAATTCGCATAAATTATCGGCCAACCTTAAAATGCCACGGGGCATTATTAATTTTCATTGTTTTCCTCAGGAAACTATCAAATATTTGTCCTTCATTTTGAGGAGGTTTTAGAGAGAGAAATTTCACATGGGTGCACGTGATGATCATCAATTTTTGATCATTCATTTCCCATATAGTTAAAAATAAAGAGGCAGAAGCTTGAATATCTTTATACAAGCATCACTATTAAACTTGAATTGTAATTTTTAAACCTGCACAGATCTTCAAATTATTTCATTATTTGAAACTTTGTTCAAAAATTTAAATCGCAAGTTGATCAAAATAATGGTTTACAATTTTTTTCAAACTAATGAAAAGATTAAAAGCTGTTTTGATTGAATCAATCTCAATCGGTAATAAAATTCTAAAACTTTTCTTCAGATTCAGCCAGATTTTTCTTCATGAACATTTTATTCAGTGGCCCAATTTTGTTCTATAACTTTGTTTCAAGACAATTTAAACCCAGTTTTTATTTTATACATACATAAAATTGGATTGAAGTGAGAATGCAGTTTGCATTATTTTATGCCAGCGCACGTCGAAAAAGAAATTGCGTTGGAATGCATAAAGTGGCGATTTGCATGCGGCGCAATTTCTCCTCGTCGGCCGCCGCGAGAGCACCTTGGCAGTGAACTTATTATTGAGTGAGTGACCAATTGTTACGAGCTTCACCGAAACGCGGCTGAATGAGCATCATCGGCGGCGTCCCACTTCGGAAGAAAGAAAGTCTCGCTCAACATTCCTGCAGCTCAAAACGACACAGCAAGGACGAACAGTTATAATATTCTCTCGGTAGCGGCAAAACAAAAAATAATTAATTTCTCAAATTATGACAACGACTCTGGCCGTCAACGCGCTAATTCCTGGCAAACCGACGATTTTCAGGAACCGCACGCGACTTCTCCATCTGTTAATTAAATGAACGACGGAAACAATTAGAGGAATCACTTGGTAAAAAAAATTGCGGAGACAAATTACGTGACGTAATTGCGTGCGGGCTGCACTTGACTCTGCAGATTATCTTGGCAGACGCATTGTTGTTTGTTCCGGCGCGGAGAAAGTGAAGTGAGATGCGAAAACGTTGCAGCCCATTGTGAGAGAGCAGCTCAATATTAGTTTGCATTGTGCATGTGAATGGTATCGCGACGGCATTAAATTTGTTCGAGGTTATGGAACAAGACAGAAAAAATAGCACTTCAAAAACAATAAAAAAAAAAAAATTCAAGTTAGCATGAGGAATAGTAAAAAATTGCTAGTATTCAAATTTTAAATAAAAAAGGAATAAATATTTAAATGAATAATTATAATTTACGTTTTTCTTCCAATTATATTTAACGTATTAAAATTTAATATAATTAATTTTACTGTGGAATATTTCAACTAATTTTCAATTTAAGAAATAAATTTTTATTGGTAAATCTGAGAAAATAAAAAATCTGCCCCTTTCATTTGGTAATTGATGCTTTCAGCTTTTCATTTTCTTTACTCATTGGGAAAAAAATGTTATTCTTTTCAATTATGAAGAAATTATAGCCATTTTTGATAAAAACCTTTGTTAATTTATGGAAATTATTATTCCCAAATTAACTTTTAATTATTGAATTGGAAAGCTTTGAACACTATTTTAAACTGGATTTATCTTGCGTGTCGAAAAAAATTGGATTTTCTTTCCCAGGACCAACATTTGAAAATAACAAAACTCGTTTCCTTCTCTCACGCAGGTTTGATTGTGAGTAATGGCTGGCGAGGAATTCCAATCGGGCGCGATTTCCCCGGCTCGGAGTTTCTTGATTTCCCTCGGCGTGTGTGTTTTTCACGCGTTAGACAATAATTATTAGCTGATTATGGATTTACTCTGCAGCAGCCGCCAAGAGTGCGGCGGTGATTTTGAATCGCGCAGTTTTACCGCCGCTATTTACTTTCCCTGATTGTCATTGTGGCCGCCGCGCTTTGAGTGAAAGTTCTTGCTGGATCCTCTCGTGTGACGCGCATCTCTGCGCCAACAATTATTTTAATACTTACTTAAGTGTAGGAAGACATACGCGCAATGATCTTTCTTTTCCCAGCTGCATCACAGTGACAAATAAATAAACAAACCGCGCGTTTGGGCCGCCAGCAACAGACAACCTAGATCAGCAGCCGGACCCCGAATTTGGTCGGTCGCCCATTGTCTTTTATTTACAATTGATGCTATTTTTTTCATTGTGCGGCTGGCATTGAACTGGAAACGCGGAGACTTTTAATTTCTGAGAGAAGAATCAGGTGCGTGACTCACAAAAATTTGCACAACTTTCAACATTCATCACTTTTATTAATAATAAGGCCACTTTAGATTTTTAATCATTTCATTTGCGAGTGGTTTAAAATTTTGATGCTTTTTATATTTTTTTTAACCGTATAAAACGTTTCTTTTGATAATTGTGATTCAAATTTTTTTCACATAAATTAATATAGAATGAATCATTATTAAAAATCCTGGAGCGCAAATATTTTTTACGATGTAATTTCTTTAATTTTATCCTTCCTAGAACTGAAATTTCAAGTCCGAGCTGACTTCATCTGGCACCAATAAACAAACACGCAGCAAATATTTGGAAAGAAGTGTGCTTAAATATTTAAGAAAACAGCTTTCTTTTCATCATCCTTAACCATATCATTAAATCCTAGAGAAAGAAACGCGTTTCCTCCGTCCAGTCACGAATCAAACCACTGTTATAATAATTTCTCAGCGTTTTTCACAAATTTTCTTCTCAAAATTTAATTTTCCGCTCGTTAATCACCAAGATTTGTCGATCGAATTGGCACGTCCGGTTGGTTTTGCAAAACTTTCTCCGCGACACCCCCGAGGAAGTCCCACGTCCGAACAAACGAGGCCCTCGAAGGGGCCCGGCGCGGCCCCTCACGGATGCTGGGCGGATTTCAGGCTCTTACTCGATCTCCGCGCGTCCCTTTCACTATTTTCACTCGGCAGAAAGATATGAATGTGCATTAGGTTTCTCTGAAAAGTTTCGCGCGCGCCTATCTAGGCCAGAATCGCTCTTTCTTCTCTCGCCGCGCTACACAGCTGTTGCTTGCACCGCCGCTTGAAAAATTATTTGAATAAATACACATTTAATTTGTTTAGTTAGTCTCAAAAATTGAGCTCAGTCCAAACCTTTAAAAGAGCAAAAAATAAAAAAAATCACTAACGAAAAATGATTTAAACTTGATAAAATTTAAAATGAGATGTAAGAAAAAAATATATACAAAATTTAAAATTTTCCTTATATTATTTTATGAATTAAGATAACGTTGTCAGAACTTCTGTCAAATTTTGGTACTTTGGTTACATAATTTATTTAATACTTTCATCAGTCACAAATTTATTTTTAAAACAAGCATTGAGAATTTTCCACACACTAAAATTTTAATAAATGAAAATTTTAATAGTAAAGGAATTGGAAAATAAATAAGATTGAGGGGTTGCCTACCTTGAAGAAGGCCGCCCTGACGAGAGGGTCCACCACGGCACCAGGGGTTTTTCTCCTCGCACTAATGTGTCCAAGGCGGGCGCACAGCCTCGCCGACCCTAAGCACGCCATAGTCAGCACTGCAATGATCGCCTGCCCGCCAGCTCCATTCTGAAGCAGCCGAACGCACATCGCCTCAGGGCCCAGGTACAAAAAGGTGGGCAGCTCTCTCCGAAGAAAGGGGGCCGCCTCACGCCGCGCCTCCACCTGCAACGCCCGCCCGATCAGTGATTTTGCCCACACCACCCCTTCCGATCGCACCCCGAACCCACCCCCGGACACCCTCGGGGCTCAGGGTGCAACCGCCGGCCGAATTTTGCCGAAATTAGGCCACTGGGAGAGGGTGAAGGACATTTACCTTTTCGAACCATGCCGCTGAGACCAGCTGTTCGCCGTCAAAGTTCAATTTTCAGTCGGCAGAGGCGCTTTCCTCCAATCAAGACAATTATTTAATCCATTATCCGATCTTGGATTGCGCATTAAAGACTTTGAAGTAATTTGACATTTTTTTCGGTCATTTTCTCGTAATGTTTAAGAGAGGAATAGAAAGATTTATAACTTTTGAATGACTTTATGCAAAAAAAATTACATAATTTTTTTTATGAAATATTTATATAAGAAATTAAACGCGCAATGATAAAATTAATATTTTATGCAACCCGCTTATATCCTGTCACGCGAGTTACAAACTTTTAATATTTTAGTTATTTATTTTAATTTTATTTATTCTTAAAAACTTAATTATTGAACATTTTAAAATTAATTCCCTGATTAATCAAAAACACTTTATTAATAATAATTATGCATTTTTTCCATCTTTTTTATTAACATGTCGGGCTTTGATCTTTAATAAAAAAAATGATTTCCGTTCTTGCTTTTTAGGGCTAAAAGTTTTCGTAGGCTTTATTTTTAGACTCAGGTTGAATGTCAAAGTCCAAGGCCTGTGAGGCTTTGCGTGTGTAAAAAAACGCTTAAAAATATCATAGTGTAGTTAATGCAATCGCACTGTTTTGTATCATTGATCCATCAGATACATTATTTCTCTGTGACCCAATTTAATTCAAGGACGCTATTCATAGCGTTGTAGCAAAAAAATGATTTTTCTACAAGTTTTAATAAGAATTTTTCCAGCATTGTTATATTATTATTATTAAATAAAATTGCCCCCAATATTTTTTTTTTGTTTTTCACAATTTTATCAGACAATAAATTTTATTTTTAATTTTTACTGCAATTTGGCAAATAAAAATAAAAACTGCATTCATCAGTTTTACCTTCAAATTAAATTGCAATATTTTTATTATTTTAGAATGGTTTTGGCTTTGCGTCACATACAGGATTTATAATAAATGTATAATATAATCATGTTTTTGGCAGTGTTCAAAATGAAACAACCCTAATGTACAATACAATGTGCCCATGATGATAGTAATCAATGATTTTTTTTTATTTATAAATCAATACGGAATAAGACTTAATGATACATTTCATTATACCTCGTGTTGGCCAACTTACACTCACAAGCGCCTTTGTACACTGCTGCTTACAATATAACATTAATCAATTAGTTAATTACTCTTTCTCTCTCAGCCTATCCCAAAAATATAGAAAACAAGAAGTGTGCTCCTAGATTAGGTTAAGAAATAATGCATCCGGACTTTTCCTGCACATTTCCGTTGGCCCTCTCGATCTCGTTTAACAAACTTGTGAAAATGTCGCCGACGGCTTCGTTGGCCTTGGCCGAGGTTTCGAGAAAGGCGGCCTTCCAGGTCTCGGCCAGCCGACGACCTTCTTCGGCCGAAACGACGCGCTCCATGTGCAAATCCGTCTTGTTTCCGACCAGCACAATGGGGACGTTGACCTAATCAGATTTCACAATCATTCTAGAGAAAACAACAGCAAAAAGTTCAAGGACAAACCTTGCCAGTCATGTCGAGCAGTTTATCGTAAATGATTTGGACGATCTCGAATGACTTGGCCGAGTTGATGGAGTAGACGAGGACGTAGCCGTGGATGTCCAGCGAGTACTGCGTCGGGAAAATGGAATACTCGTCCTGTCCGGCCGTGTCCACAAGGCTGACCTCGTACTCTTCGCCTCGGACGCGGACGATTTTGGAGAAAGTGTTTTCGATTGTCGGGTCGTACGAGTCAACAAACTGTCCCTCGACAAACTGGATGCTCAACGACGACTTGCCGACCGAGCGGTAGCCCATCACGGCGATTTTCCTCTGCTTGGGGGGCATGTTGCTGATTCAGTATGGTGCTGCGCACTCCTACATTAAGGCCTCAACCCGCCGAATTTTGGCATGCGTTTCGTTTTTGGCTGAAATATCAGGAGCGTTAGTTCCTTCGTTCGAGTCCAGTGACTTTTCACGCACCTATACGCCTCGATGTCGAGCAGCTAGATGAAAGCAAAATAAGGTGAAATTGAAATCAATCAAAACAATTGACCTTGCTGCAGCTGGCTTGCAATTGCTGCCAACGTAAATATTTATTACTTGTAATATTTCAGGTTGGAGTCGTCACAGATTTTTTATTTTTTATTAATTATGTTTTATATCTAAAATTGTATTTTATGATAATTATGTAAATTTCATCAATTATATTAACAGAATCTACTGATTGAATCAGATAAAATATTATGTAAAATTTATTTATGTTGGCGGCAGCTGCAGGAAAATAAATGAAAATACCGGTTTTAAGTATTAAACCGGTTTAAAGTTTTTTCTAAACAATTTTATCTGTCTGATAACATTAAGATAACGAAGTAATATTTACAAAATTATATATTATTTAAGAATTATTAAACAAAATTATATATTTGTGTTGAATTTAGGTTAGCAAATGTCATTTTTTATCAGAAATCTTGCACTGAATATTTGCATACCGGTATTATAAATTTAATGAAAAATATTGCTCAGCGCAAGTGGCAACATGCAACTTTGCAGTCGTAGCCAATCCCATCGCAGGTTCCCTTTGCTCATTGCTCAGAGAGCAGCTGTGTAGAAAAATTAGATAAACAGAGAGGTTTATTGCGTTGGACAGAAATACGTCGCAGACGTCGCAGTGCAACTTTAAGACAGCAGTTCAAACAGAGGACCATCTGGGCTGCAGCATGTGAAATGGATTTAGTTTGACTTGTACCAGAAACAGTGATTCCAGTCGTTAGTATTTTTTTTTAAATTAACCAGTCATGGCGAGCAGCCTTGGCAAAGGTGGAAAGGGAATCCTTGATCTGCGCTTCAACCAAGACCAAGGTATGTTATTTGAATTGCACATGTCTCGATTTAATTTCATATAGTGACCTTTCGCTTCAGGTTGCTTCGTGTGTTGCATGGAGGATGGACTGAGAATTTACAATGTCGACCCTTTAGTAGAAAAATCGCATTATGGTTTGTAATGAACTACATAAATTAAAAATTTTATCAACCTTTTTTTGACAAAAATTTTAGGCGTGAACGTCGTGGGCAGCGTTTCTCACTGCGAAATGCTGCACAGGACGAACTTGCTGGCCTTCAGCTCGGGTCCTCCACGTCCTAAGTACGCAAACAACACTGTTCTTGTCTACGACGACCACACAAAACAGTTTGTTTTAGAATTCACTTTTCCCGCACCTGTCAAAGCTATCCGACTGAGACGTGACAAGTGAGAAAATCTATTTTAAGACATTCATTTGGAAACTGATGTTTGATTTTTATTTCCAGACTAGTTGTTGCACTTAGAAAGCAAATTCACGTCTTTTCCTTTCCGGAGCCTGCCCAACGACTGATGACTCTTGAAACAAGGGACAATCCGCTTGGCCTCTGCGAGTTGGCCCCCTTGATGACTGCAGAAAGGCAACTTTTGGTCTTCCCTGGGCATAAAATTGGAAGCATTCAGTTAATTGTATGATTTCTCCTTTTATAAGTAAAATATTGACTAATTTTGATTTTTTTTTCCCTTGTCAGGATCTCGGAGGCTTTGAAAGCTCTGCCTGCTCGAGTTCTCCGATCACAATAAATGCTCACCAAGGCGAGCTAGCGTGCATTGCAGTTAATCCTCAGGGATCCATGGTGGCCACTGCATCGAACAAGGGAACTTTAATCAGGGTCTGGGATGTAGCGAGGAAAGCTCAACTGGTGGAATTGAGGAGAGGCTCTGATCCAGCTACATTATACTGGTACAAATTCTTATTATATTTACCTTAAAAAAGTTATAATTTTATTTCTGCAGCATCAACTTCAGTCGAGATTCCGAGTTCCTCTGCTGCTCCAGTGACAAAGGAACAATTCACATTTTTGCTCTGAAAAATACAAATCTCAATCGGCGATCTTCGTAAGTAATCATAATCGATTGAAAACTTATTTTTTACATGATTTCAAATTTGAAGGTTTTCCAAAATGTCTTTCCTTGGCAACTATGTGGAATCTCAGTGGGCTCTGGCCAACTTTACAGTTCCGCCAGAATGCGCTTGTGTCTGTGCCTTTGGATCTCGAAGTTCAGTCATAGGTAACTTTTGAAAGGTAGATGTAGAACTTGATTTAAATATTTGACTTCTTCGCAGCAATTTGCCTTGATGGTACTTTCCACAAATACGTTTTTACAACAGACGGAAATTGCAATCGAGAGGCCTTTGACATTTTCCTCGACATATGCGAGGACGACGACTTTTAATATCATAATAAAAAGCAGTGATATGTGTGCGCAGCAATGAGACGAGACACTTTTCAACAGTGAATATTTATGTGTGATTTAGAAAATATTAAGCGGTGATTATGGGAGCTGAAATCTAGTCAGCTTTTCAATTGTTTGTTTTTCTATCGAATTATTATATATTCAATCAGCACTGTAAAAGCACACATTTTCATCTTAATCCTTTGTATCAGCAGCAGTCAAATAAAATTTTAATAATAAATCGCTCAAAATTTTTTGCATTTAAAATCTGCTAGAGGTTGCAAAATTATAAATTTTATTTTACCTTTCAAAATTATTTAAAATATGTAAGTAACAAAGATTTTTAATTGATGCACATATTTCCATAATTTCAATTATGCTTTTTTGATTGATCTTTTGTATAAATATGACTTTTTGTAAAGTATTTTGATGTGAGAAGTAATAGTTGTCTACATTAAAATTAACTTGAATGTGATGATTTAATGTTAAAATATAGAATGAAAATGTAATAATTAAAAATAATATGTATTCAATTTCAAGTTTTGAAGACTATGATTAAATTGAGAACTTCACCCCTACCATCATAGGATGAAAGTAAAAAAATTCCATATTGTTGCAATTTCATAGAGAGCAAATTTTACTAAAAAAAAATTCATGTTCACACACTTATGACAACATTTTATAATAATACAATGAAATATTATGATGGATTGAATTTAAATTCGGCTTTTCCTCGATGGGTTTTTGTGAGTTTTTATTGTTTAAGAAAAACAATATCCTGCTATTGGATATTGTTTTTCTTAAACAATAAAAACTCACAAAAACCCATCGAGGAAAAGCCGAATTTAAATTCAATCCATCATGAATCAACCCTCGATCGTGAACTTCTACTACAGAAATATTATGACTCCAACTGATAAATATCGTATTTTTTATGAGATTAAAAAACAAAAACTTTTTTTCTAAATTTATATATGTTTCAAAATATTGATTGTTCCACAAAAAGATCAAACAATATTATTTTTAATTTTCTTAATTTTATATTTCGAAAATACCATGCTGGTAAATTATTCAAATTATTGTCAACTTGATTCAGCAAATTTTAGTTTTGCGCCAGCATAATGCTCTATAATTTTTGGGTAATCACCCAGAGGTAACAAGCTATTAATCAATGGCACAAACGCTCTTTTTTCCTTCAATTTCCTGGAATAATTTTTTTATTTTTCACCATATTTCTGGTATTATACATTTTGCAATAATAAAAAAAAGCTATATACAAAGAAATTCAGAAGATTTAAGAGAAAAATAAAAGGAAATTTGCTCCTTACCGTAATTATGTTTTTTTTTTTTTTTTTTCTTAAAAACAACAACAGCGCTTTGCATTTATTGCACTGAAATTGCACATTAAATTTTATCATTTTCTATATATTTAGATTTATGAAAATGCATTAATTACAATTTATTCTAGATATTTTCTTTAAAAGGTCAAATTTGAAAATAATTTTCATCATTATCAAAATTTTATATCTTAATGTGTGTAGCCTAAATAATTTGATGATAATTATATTCTCCTTTGATCGTAGATTAATAAAATTTGGCATTTTGATGTAAGGACTGCAATTAAGATGTTTTTTTGTGTGAAATAATAATGATGCATTTTATTAATTTAGAAACATTTTATTGATATTAGAAAATTAATTATTCATACAAAAATAAATTTATATAAAAAATAAAAAAAAAAACACATCAAATTATTCTTATTCATCGTGACAAAAATTGACTAAAGCAATACAGAATTATAGTCAATAATTTCATTAAATGTAACAATGGTCATTTGCTAAGTGACCGTTGAAAATGAGCCTTGATGCCGTTTCTGCAATCGTCAGACGCAAAGCTTCACCAGAAACGTCTTGGTCCTGAAGACGAACAGCAACATTTCCATTACCATCATCTTCATCGACATTCAAAATTTCAGTTTCAAATATGTCATCACAGTTTAAAAAGAAATTCTGCAGTGCAATGCAGCTAGCAATTACTTGCGGAACTCTTGTATAAAGTACTTTTAATTTATACAAAAAAATTGATCTCCATCGCGCCTTTAACCTTCCAAAAGCTATTTTAACAACACTTCGAGCCCTCGAATGCAAAGCATTAAAACTAGTTTTCATGACTGAGTTATGAAAAAAGACTCCCTGAGCCTGATCGGCATTAATTTGTGTCGCAGTGAATGGAATAATCACCGTAATAGGGGCTGAAAGTAAGGGGTAGCCGCCATCCCCTAGCAAATAATATCCTCTAGGTGGGTACGTTTGATTGACAAACAAAGGGCTGTTGCGAAAAATTCTCGAGTCATGCACACTTCCAGGGTATCCAATGAACACGTCAATAAAATGACCTTTGTGGTCAACAACAGCTTGAAAGTTACTGCTGTGTGAACCTTTATAAAAGTAACTGCCTGCCTGGTCTTCTGGCACTTTGGCAATCTTTACACGGCAACCATCAATGGCCCCCACTGCTTCTTTAAAACAATCATTCTTAGCTAAAGCGCAAAATCCTGCTCCAATACCAGACAATTCATCTGCTTTTGGAAGTTTAACAAATTTTTTCAAATTGGAAGCAAACATTTTTAGGTACTTATGAATTATGCGTATAATTGTGCTTTTAGGCATTTCAAATGAAGCACTAGCAACATGATAGGAACAACCAGTTGCTAACCAATACAAAAAAATCATGAGCTCAATTTCAAGAGACCAACCATGCACCTTCTCTTCTTCGAATAAAAATGAAATCAGCTTCTGATAGGTGGTGATGTGAAGTCGGAAGTGGCTCCTGAAAACCTCGTCATTCCTCTCAAGGTAGCACTTAAATATTTTGAGCGTGAAGTTTGGAACTGCGTGTTTAATTCCACGGTTTTGGACCTGTAATTTATAAAAAAAATGACAGATAATAATAATCTATGTTATGTTGAGGACACTGGGTGGGTCCGAATATCAGAGAAACGATTCTAGAAACGATTCTTGAGAAACGTTTCTCGAGAAATGATTCTGGAGAAACGTTTCTCGAGAAACGTTTCTCGAGAAATGATTCTAGAGAAACGTTTCTCGAGAAAAGATTCTCGCGCAAGGATTCTCAAGGATCGATTCTTTAGTTGAGTTTTAAAGGCAGAAACGATCCTGGAGAATCTTTGCGCGAGAATCTTTTCTCGAGAAACGTTTCTCTAGAATCATTTCTCGAGAAACGTTTCTCGAGAAACGTTTCTCCAGAATCATTTCTCGAGAAACGTTTCTCAAGAATCGTTTCTAGAATCGTTTCTCTGATATTCGGACCCACCCATTATGAATTAAAACTTTTATGTACATACCTTTCTGGCATAAATTTCAATGATTCGGTTCAAAGATTTTTTCCGCTTTCCTCGCGCTAACAACAAAGTAGCTTTCCAAGAGACATCCTCTTCATCAGCAGAACTTTGTTCATTCAATAGGCGAATGCAAAGAGCAAATAGTAATTGATTGTCCATGATAATTTGCTCAAGTCGATATTGCTGATAAAACGAAAACGAGTCAAATCAACAGTCAAATCAAAACAACTAAAATTAAAAAAATGAGCATCAATATTAAGATCAAGTACGAGACGCCAGGTGTCACTGAACACTCGGAGTGCTCAGGGTGCTTTCAAAAATTAGTACGGAGCACTGCAATTCTTGCGCAATACAGAAGGTTAGATAGGAAAAGTGTGTAGTGCGCAGGTTCCAGTCATCTGAGGCTTGGACCACCAGAGGCAGCACCGGAGCCTTTATTTTTGTTATCATTTCAATTTTCAACTTTTCGAGGATTCATAAGCTACATAATCGTGCCACTGCTAAAGTTTGCAGCAAAAGGATTTTTTAGGATATTTATTACTTTTGAATTAATTTGTTTGCAAAATGTCTGTAGTAAGGGTGAGTTTCTAAGTGCACTAAGTGCAGAATATTATACATACATAACAAAAAATACTCATTGTCAGTCAGCCCGCACCCGCATTAAATTGCATTAAAAATTTTATGCCTTTATATTTTCCTGTGTATTTTGCACATTTTCAAAAATTTGCGACTGTTTTTATAATAAGTATGTACATATTTGTATTTTTGATACTTATTTTTATTTTCAGAGGCTACTGCAAGGATCAATTTCTAGTCCTAGCCAACTTATTCTTGGGTGTCGATCTTTGAGCAACCATGCAGCTGCTGCCCTTCAAGTCAGCAATGATAGCAATCCTGTCGGCACACCAGATAAATTGTTCAAGAAGATAACCATAGAGCTGAAGGGACACGAAAAAGCGGTCTTGAAAAGCTACACAACAGTCCTGAAAGCAGCGGCAACTAATTTGGATATACCCAGTGATGAAATGTATGTATATTAATAATTTTGCTTTTTATGTTTCTACAATTTTTAAATTGATTTGTTATTTTCCAGAGTCCTCGTACCAAAGGCAACGTATAACAGACTTACACTCCTCCGCTCAGTGCACATCTACAAAAAGCACAGGGTTCAGTACGAGATGAGGACATACCATGCTAGTTTGACATTACGAAGATTGACAGGATCAACAGCAGACACCTATTTGGAATATGTGCAGAGGATGTTGCCAGAAGGAGTGGGAATGAAAGTGTCAAAGGTAGAAGGAAATTTATCTCAAATTACATATTTTACTAAAATAACATTCTGACCTGCAGACAGAAATTCATCCAACTCCAAATTACATGCAGCAACCCTCGGCTTAGCATAAAGTCTTTAGTTAGTGCAGAATTATTAAACAATAGTCCTTTCTCATCCCACTTTAATTGCTTTTTTGTGTGAAAATAAAATCAATTTGATTTAACATAAATTTAATTTTATTGTTGTCTTTTTTAAATACATAACGTTCGTCCATCTGTTATTTTAAATTTTCTTCAGTTAGCTCTTTATTACACCTAAATAGCTGCGGTAAATCTCGACATGGATTACATTGAGAAATCATAAATCATGTTAGCGCAATTGAGGATTCGGCCTTCCATCGTGTGGCCATTTTTCATACAGCAATAATATTCATCGCTAAAGACAACAAAATACTGCAATTTGTTTCGTCTTATTTCATGTATCACAACCATAGTTAACATTTTTGAGCTTTAAACATTACAACGAATACAACGATTTACGTATGAAGCATAATAGGAGGTATATTTGCTCAAATAAAGCTAGCTGAGGTACTCGTTTTTACAATGTAAATAATAGTTGAATCTAGAAAGGTTAGCTTAGATTCCGTTACTCTGTTTTTTGTCAACTATTACAATCCCTCCTTAATACTGATCATGCACATTTTGTTCAGCTAGAGTTCCATTGATTAGTAATTAACAAAACTCTTACAGGACTAATAAATTTGGCCAGCCACTCTGTGGAATGAAAGAATGTAGAGGTTTTAACACTTAAGTTCACAATTAACACTGTATAGAGAGACACCAAACATTGATGACATTATTTCAGAACAATACAGGCCAGCATATTTAAGAGATTCCATTTTCATTTTTTTTTCTTCAAAAATATTAGAGATCAATGAACAGTCAATTCGGAGCATTTGATTCTTGCACAATGATGTTTACTTTATCTGCTCAAAAGCTCCGATTTTTCACAAGGAGACAACAAATAATTGACATGAAGTACAACAGATCTTTAAATTACACATTTGTGTCCATTTCGAGCCAGGAGAGTGCTTTGGCACAAATTGCTAGAAGTAAGCTAAATACATTCAGTTATTGTGCACAAAATTGGATGGTCATTTAGCTTAATGACGATCTTGAAGAAGAGGTTCCATCGTAGTGCAGGAGGGCCGTCGAATATTACAAGTTTGTCTCGTTCCAGCACCTTAAAAATTATATTCCAATCAGTTTCAACAAAATATAAACTTAAAATGCAACTGCCTGCTAAAACAGTGTCGAAAATGTGGTCTCGTTGGTTGGGATCTTCCAGAAAAGTTGGAGACATGTTCTCCAATTCGTGAAGTTCTGGTCCCATTGGAGCCAAGCCAGTCAGGGTGACAGAATTTGAATCTGACAAAGGGGCCTGAGGATTTTAGTTATCAGTGTGAGATTATTTATTTACATTTTAAAATTTTACCTGACTTGTGACATTAATCTCGTCTTGGAATTCTGCAACCGTACAGAGCTTCTGGCAGAACTCCCAATCCGTTTTGAAGCTTGGGCCGAATCTGTATAGAAGTGAAAGAAATCCAAAATTGGAAATACAAAATGAGTGGACAGTCAAGTCGATGATGAAAATGCCAATCTGGTTAAATGCCAACACTTCGCTTGTCAGCAACATCAGTCCAGTAATGATGGTTGTAATACTCGCCACACAAATAGGAGTCAAGTTTTTGACGATCAGGTGTTTAATGCGCTGCTCTCGGTCGAGGTGGCCGTTATATTTTATGGCGTAGTGCAACACAAAATCGACACTCAGCCCGGCTGCCATGGTCACAGCTAAAGACTCAAGCACATTCAAGCGCCACCCCAAAAGGGCTAAAAATGCAAGGGACGAGGCTAGAATTGTGTAGACGGAAAAAGCAGCCAGCAAGGTTATAATAAGGTTGCAAGTCGAAAGGTAGAGGACGATCGAACAGGCGGTGGCAGCGAATATGACGGAGGTCACAGACTCAGTCATAAGCTTGTTTTGGAGATCATAAAACTGGAGGTCGGAAGTAAAAAAACCGCCTTTCATTGAGTTCGGAGCCGTCTTCAGCATGCTTGTTGTCCAACTCTCGACCTGAAATTTATTGTTTAACAAATTTTTATAAAATCAAATTTTTTATCTAGACCTCTCGGAAAAAGGAGTTCATTTGTTGAAAAGACAGAGAGAACTCTCTGGACGAGTCGTACTGAATGACCACAGCTTTGGCGACTGACACGTTGCCCTTGATTCTCATGTCAAACTTGGGTCCGGCCAAGGTTGGCATGAAAAACTGGGCTGGCGTGTTATGCAGATCTTTCATGGCTCTCTCCAGACAAATGGCAAAGGTCTTCGGAGCATAGGGAAACTTGGACGTTTCGCAGCAGGGTTTTCTGTCCAACTGGTCAATGGAATCGTAGCACTTCCTGTTCATGTAGCTAATAAGGGATTCGAGAAAACAATTCTGCAGCAAAGGACCAAGGACAGACTTGTAGAAGGGTTGGCTTTTCAGTTGACGACAAAATCTCCGTAGGAATAACTAGCAAAGAAAATTTATTTCTTATAATGATAAGACGTCCTGTGTTTTTAATATACTTGAGCCTTGGGCTTGCTTATGTCAAAAGTTTTATCGAAAACTAACAATGATCCATTTGGTTTTGAATTTGGGTTGAGGAGGTCTCTGGAATCGATGGGCTTCAAGCCCCAGACCCAAGTTAGAGGAAGAATATCCCTCGAAGATTTCTGGTGCTTCTCGAACCAAAAGCTCTCGGTAAAGTCAGAATGGTATCTATGAATAAGTTGATATTTTAATCAATTTTTTATACAAATATTTGAAATCAAACCTTTCAAATGGATGGCTTGGCTGAAATAAAGCAAAACTTTTTGAGTCGGGCGCTCGCAGACGAGGGCTGATCAAAATTGCGTAGGTGGAAGCAACCGTCAAAATAGTCATCAAGAGAATGCAAATGAGAGAGGCCTTTGATATTATCCACAGTAGAGTTGTCTGGAAATATGATTCAAATTTTTTAAATGTTTGAAAATAAAAATTATAACCATTATAACCTTACCCTAAGAAAACATCCTAATTTGTGGAAACCACATGAGAGCTTTTCAAACATTCGGCATCGAGTTCTATGCACATTAAAAAATTTGGCAATCATTTCCGAAATAACGACCGACGGTATCATCCAAAAGATGGTCATCATCCAGTGAATCATCATGGTTGATCCAGCAAAAATACTTTTACAATTTATAATTCGAAATGATGAATATTTTACAAAAGTTAATGCTTAATACCTGAACAATGCAATTGACGTCACAGAGCTTAGCCGAGCAGCAAACATGGCAGCAGCTGTGGTCAGAGATGTTGCCGTCACAGAAAACCACAGTGGGGTGAGACTCCAAAGTTTGTCTTTGAGTTTAAGATCGTGATAGTCTTGCCAGCTGTGAGCTATGAATAAGAGATCGTCTGTACCGATCGCTAAAAATATCAAAATTTCCATTTTATAATAATCAAAATCAGCACAAGTTAACACAAAGTTATACCTAGCAAGAGGAGGGCAGCCATCAAATTGAGGAAAGGAAATCGGTCTGCTCCGAGGGTTTCGCAGTAGAGCCAATAGCTGATGGCCAAACTGAGAACAATGTTTAGCAAGCCGAAGAAGATCATCAAAAAGGATCGAATGAACAAAAGAAGAATAATCAAAATTAGTGCCGAGATGATCATGGAAATCCTTATCGAGTCGTGGATTAGAAGTTTGTCGAAAATATAATCTTCAAGACCTATCAAATCAAAGTTAGAAAAATTATGGTTATAATTGGGAAAAATACCTAAATCCATAGCTACTATTTTGATTTGCTTGTAGTGAGATAAGGACAGCGCCTGCAGGCGTTTGTAGAAATCATAGCTCTTTGTACTTTTTGCAATGGGCAGGATAATTTGTATGAACTTCAGAACATGCTCATTCTGGTCGCTCGACTGTAAAAAAACATTAATAATAATACAAATAAATTTAAATTTCAGTTCCTTCTTACGTTGGGTGGCAAAAAACCAATATCAAAAATAAAATTCATCAGTCCTCGAACAATCGACTTGCGAGTGCACCTGTTTGGCGCTAATTGACAGGTGCCCTCTTCCTCGATGCACTCCAAATCCAAATTGTGGAAGTGATGGGTGCATTCTTGCAGCAAATCGGCGCAGTTCAAAAGATCATCCTCCTAATTGTATGTGTTAACAGCACAACAATTTACATTTAAATCGAAAAAAACCTGAAGCTCTTCACAGGAGGACTTGTTACTAGCTAAAAGTAAGTATCTAGTCAGACTCCACATTGGACAGCAGTTTTGAGGCGTCTGAGTTTCACAGATTTCTGTGTAGAGCGGCTCTATTTCTTTTTCGAGGCTGCAAAGCTCCTTTACGACGTCCAGCTTCCACAGATTTTCCCCCTCCTTTTTGTTCGAGATGATTAGTCGAGCATGCGACCAAGCTAGATTGATAAATTTGAGCATTTTTGGTGATAAAATAAAATAAGTTTTACTTGGTTGGCCACAAAAGGAGTCTTTGTTGACATGAGAGTGATTATGTGCCTCCCCGTAGTGGCCGTCTTCGTCCTCGTCGTAGTCAACCATGGTGACATGTCCGACGTCACCGTCACTTGTGATTGAAGCATCGGACTGAATGAGACTCGAATCTAATTGTAAGAGAAAATTTAAAAATAGTACCAAGAGGATAATGATTAGCATACCTGATGGGAAAATAAAATGACTGGAATTCTGGTGCTCTTGTTTTAAATTTGGCGGAAGAGAAGACGGAACTTGATCTAAAACGGTGCTGTTCGAATTGACAAAGACGGAATGTGTGTGCACCTGTAAAAGAGTCAATTGTAATAACAGAAGTTAATTCTCTTAAATAAAAAACTTACTTTTGGCAGATCATTCAAGCTGTCAACTTTGCTCTCCTTGAAGAGAGTGTGCTGCCAAGACTCAAGCTTTTGTCGATGCATCCGACCTTGCAGAATCTGTAGCTAATTTTATAAATATTGTACAGTATTTGAAATAAATAAATTCTATCAAATTACTCTTTTTCCTTCGGGGTTGCTCGTCATGAAACCGTACGGTTTTGAAGCTTCCGCCAAGTTCACTAGGACGTCATTTCGACCTGACAATAAGGTTGATTTTGTTTCAAAGCCCTGAAGATTGGAATAAAATAATTATTTATAAATGATAAAAATTGTACTGCAGTTTTACCATGTGAGGGTTTGAGAAGTCTGGGGAGTGCGATGGCTGGACAAGAATAATCACAATTGCTGCAATGCTGATGCCAGTCAGTGTCAGCCATAGTAGGAAAATTGCCGAAGAACTGTCGAGTTAATTTATTACAAAATTTATAATAAATGTCAGTCCAAATAAAACGCACCTGGAGAAGTTGAGATGAAATTTCTGCCCCGAGGTAATGTTATTGTTTGGATTGGCCCCGGCATTGTTCTCCATGTTAATCGTTTAGGAGCCTTTCACCTTCACCTGTAGCAAAATTTTTATTGCTCAAACAAAAAATGAATTAATTCTTTAAATTCTTTGCGTTTTACTGGAGTGGTTTTCTCCGAGGGCGCTAGGAAAGTTTTAAAAAGTTTAGCTCCGTAGCAAACCATAACAAAAAATCAGCTGGCCGTGGTCCGAGTGATCACATTTTTGCGATGAAAAGACGGCAGAACAGGAAAATTTCTTGCAACAATACCGGAATCAACGAACCTGGTCATCGAGCGAGAGGTTTCGCGGAGACAAAGGGACATTCGAGGCCAGATGAGAGCAGGAAAGCGATTTTCCGCCAAACGATTGGGCTGCTCACTTCACTACAGGCGCCATACTTTTACGCTACGACGAAACCAGATGGAGCTGCCGAGGGGTGCGGGCGGGCGGGAGGAGGGAGGGAGGAGAGAGGCGATGAGCACCGGGCAAGGTCGTGTTTGAACTTGTTGGGGGTGAACGCAAGAGGCAATCACTCGATAACACATAAACACACGTGCGCTGCATTCCGTCAATGCAAAACTCGGTCTCTGATCTGCTGCATTTATTTGTTGTTTATCATTTCGTTTATTTGCCAATGAAATGAAATTAAAAATAATAAGGAAGTAATCTCACTACAACTGTGTGCGTACAGCTTCAGGTTAATTTACATACGTCAAGAAGGTTATTAATTTTTTTTGTTATTTTGCTAATTAGTAAGTTATTAAGTTTAATTATTATTTTTTACTTCAAATGTAGCAAATAAATTTCAGTTTTAACTTTTAACTCGCTTTTAAAGTTTAATTTTAATAAATGAATTTTAATTTATCTTAATTATATTACATTTTACGCATCTAGAATTTTCCTTTTAGAAAAGTAATAGTAAATTGATTGACGATTTTTTTTATATTTAGTTTATTCTTTTGCAGAAAACTTCTTTTGGAAGCTGATTCTGTCGCGTCCATCTGGAGAAAACTATTCTCATCTGTCATATCTTCGTGTCGGCCAATGATGTTAAAAGGTAGGTTGCTCTAATATGAAAATACTTTTATAACATGATTTTTTCGTCAAAAGGAGGGCAGGAATAATTATAATAAAAAATAATAATATAAATATATATAGCTTTTGCTTTTTGCTATATTATAGAGGTGATTTTGGGTTTCCCAAAAAGGAACCTTTATTTTAGGTGTTAAAATTACAGATAACTGTGATTTTCTTACATCACAATTATCCGTCTTTATCTAGCCTCTAATTTTTGTTGACAAAACTTTGTATGTCACACAAAAATAAGAGAGTATAATTATGTGTATTATTTTGCTATAATATTTGGGTTTCATTAAAAATGCAGCCTTCATATAAGGCGTCTCTAATTATTTTTATTTATTATTCGTCATTTTTTTCCGCAATACGAATGAAAACACACACAAAGCACATATAATAAATTTTATTGTGACGCACTTGAATGGGCTTAATTTTATTTTTGTAGTTAGTTTTTGCAATAATATTTGTTGAAAAAATTTTTGCATAGCTTCTCTTTTCTATAATGCTAAAAGTTTTATGATAAAAAAAAAACTCTCTTCAGTGTTTAAATTTAAGGCTATAAAAAAATGCTTTCATGATAATTGAATACGCTTGGCAAGAACAAACTCTGACTTTTCACAAGTTTTTACAGATTGGATTATTCCATTTAATCACGCAATTTGATATTTCCGTTTTATAGCCTATATAATTTTATATATTTTGCAGAAATCAATCAAAACCAGGCTGAAAAATTTGTATAAGCTGACTCGCGTTTTTGATAAAAAAAAAAATATCGTCAACATTTGACAATAATTCAAATGAACATAAAATTATGAATACTCACAGTACAGAAACGGAACAACCACTCTGGAAAATTTGCAAATTCTGTGTTTTATTCAGAAATAATTCCAATTTTATGCTTTTCCATCATAATTTGCCTGGCTGTGTTTTCAATTTCCAACCTCTGAATATTTCACGCTAAAATATTAAATTTGGCGCGTGGGACGCTTCTTGGTTCAGCGAGCTAAATTGCAATTTCGTAAAGCGGCACATCAAAATGATTGAATTAATGCCAAAAAATTTAATTATCGTAAAGCGGCGCCTTTGCCAAGAGAAATTATTTATTTTCCTCCCAGATATTCTTTGTTCGCTGAAAGAATAAAAGTTACAATCCTTACAATCATTTGATTTTTGCTCCGAGAAAGGAAAATTGAATAATATTTTTATCACTTTGTTGAAAAATCTTGAATTCGATAATGATCGTCTGATCCTCTTGATGTTGGTGGGCTGCTTTGTAATTCCTGAGTTGTGTGGGTTGCCTGCAAATGTAAATTATTTCAACTCCATGAACACGTTGTTGATTATCATTCTTTTATTTGGTAAAATGAAAAGGAAGAGCTAAAATAAAACACGATTTTTTTTACATTTAGAATATCTTAACAAAGCAATATCATCAAATTTTCATTATTTTTTTTAGCACAGGCAACAGACATGAGACTCTTTTGACAGTCAACATCATAATTGATTAAAAAGTGATATTTTTTTTAGGTCAACAAAAGATTTTAATAATTGCGATCAAAGAGTTTCAAAACTGATACATAATTTTTCCAGGACGACTCTTTTTTTACCTTTCTTGAATTAAAAAGCATTGATGATTTCACGGTTTTATTAAAACAATAATGATTTTAAATTTCGTCTCCTTTTCATGCTAGATAAAAAGGGAAAACTCGTGATCGCGCCGTTTCCAGCTGTGTGCCAACAGAAGCAACGTCGAGAATTCGCAGAACTCTCGCGGGGCTCATTTAAGGTTTGTTTCAATTGGCCAAGCTGCGCGGGCAAATGTTTGTGTGAGCAACTTTCGGTTTTTGCTTTTTAAAGCTCAGATACAAGCTGGGTGGAAACTGTTGCCCGACCAGAGGAACAAGTCAATGGCCCCCTTGGCACCATCAACATGGTGGATTTCGCTTCGTGTTTCCTCACGATTTTTTGCTCAATCTCGGAAGTGTTTTCCCCGAAAGGATTCAAGCTGCTCGGCCGCAAGTCCTGACCACTCCGCACCATCAGGTCCGTGCCATTCCTTCGCTTCCTGCAAAATTTAAAAAGAAGGGGAAAATTGAAGAAAAATGAAGCTGCTGAAATTAAGGAAAATAATGGGTTTTTCAGGAAGAAATTGACTTTTTCTTTTTAAGTTCCAAGTTTCATTCCTTTCCAAAAAGCATATATTGGGGGGAAAATAATTGAAAATTCCATAGAGGGAGACAAAAAATCTCAAAATAATTATATTTTTGATGGCTGTTGTCTTCTATCATGTGCTTTAGTTGTTTGATAAAGGGAAAAGCAATTCACCTCCATCCCCATATGACAAGTGTTTTGACAGTGTTTTTGAGCTTCCTTTCTGAAAACATTTTATGTTGGTTTTGCCTTTTTTTAATGACTGGGTACAATTTAGTTTTTCAGTTTCGCCAATTTTCCACGAGAATGAGAATTTTAAATATATATTTTTTCATTGCAAATTAAAATAACCATCTGAGCCATTTTCACAAGCCCAGATGCGTGCAACACATGGAGAAAAATAAAATAATTGTTACTCACAACGGGGGTCAAAAGAAATCCACTTTTTCGTGTGTCAACAAAAACGGAAGGAAAATAAATTCGCTCATGCGGCAACCTGAAAGCGTTTATTTTCAGTGGCAGAGCCAGAAAAGTGCGCGTCAAAAGGCCGATTGTGAGATGAAAAAGCGTGCAGACAGTTTATAAAAAAAACGTACCTGTCTGCGGAGAGCTTTTTGCAGCAGCACTGAATCAACGCCGAGGGCAACATGCCTATCAATTCTCTGCGAATATTGGTGTTCATCCAACCGTACACGATTGGGTTTGTGATGGCTGTGCTCATTGCGATCGTGTGGCAAATGGCAGTGGCGATGTACAGCTTCTCTGTCGGGAAGATCAGCGGCTTCACCTCCACGATGATGGAGAGAATGTAATGAGGCAGCCAGCTAATCGCGAACAAAGCCTGCCAAAAGCAAATCGGATACAGATTAAAGCGCAACAACGCTTAAAACTATTAAAATTTTAACGAGCAGAAATTCTTGCTGTATAGGCAATTTAGAACATTTCATGGGATCATTATAAAAAATTTTATGAAAAAATAAAGATCAATTGAAAAGAAGATTTTTTGGGAGCAAAATAGTCACAGAATTACAAATTTAAATTGTCTAAAACTTTTTGAGGCCATGTTATGCGTTTATTGTGAGAGTTGTTCTCTATTTTTTATTGTTTGATTTTTTTAAGCAATAATATATTCCTATTATTCCTAGAATCAAAACATAGAAAGGGTTGTGATTGTTAACAAAAACAAAGCGTTGCTTTCAACATTTTAATGCGCTGGCTCTGATTCTGGAGTGAGCTTTAATGAGGCCTTTGAGGCTTCATTTACATCTGCAGGTTTTTGCAAATATTTCACGAGCCTCTGCAGTGCAGATCAAAAGAGTTCACTCTGCCTCGCTTAATTTGTTATGCAAATGTGCTTTTCACGTTTGTACATTCAATCTTTCTTTTTTACATCAAATATGGAAAAGGAAAAATCCCTTCAAGTAAATCAATACGATTTGATACGTAATAAAATCTCCTAAAATATTTTCTTTTGAAATTCGAAAGGAATATGCCTATGGTAACAAGACATGCAAAATATTTGCAATTTTTCCTCTGATTCGCGTGATTGGTTTCAATGGAGACGCAATTTTTTCCCTTTCAAAAGTCAGACACGAAAAAATGTGCTTACGGCAATGACGACAAGGATGGTGGTTGTCTTTCTGTTCCGAGCCATTTCTCTGGAGACTCGGCCCGAAGCGACAATCTGCGCGGCGTCTGATTGTGAGCTGCCCTCGAAAGCCACGTTTTGGGCGGTGGCGTGGTTCTGCAGGAATTTGGCAATGCTCGTGTGCACCACAGAGAGCACCACGATGGGGATGAAATACATCATGAGTAAAATGTAGACCAAATAGGCGCGCTTCAAAGGGATCGACGGCCACTCTTCGATGCACATTTTGTACAGGACCAGACTGTCGACCGCGAAGTCTTCCACCTTTTGATAGAAAACCAGGGGCAGAACAGACGCGAGTGACAGAAGCCAAACCTTCAGAACAAAAAAGGAAATTTTTTGAACTTATATAATAGCATAAAAGTTATGTTAAAAATTTCATACTTCTAAAAACTTTATGGAGGAATATTTTTAAATGAAAATCTTGTTTCTTAATTACTTTTTTTCAGAAACTTCTACATATATTGATTTAAGGATTGAGTTTGAAAATTCAAAATTTAAAAAAAGGGCCAATTTCTTAAGGATTTAGAATTTTGATGCATGGAAATGGAATAAACAAAATCTGTTTTATAAATCCAGCCAAGAACTGTCTCCTTTTTGCTGACATTCTAGGACGGATTACAATAAATGCCTAAATTGCACTTATCACAGGAATAAAAAAGCACTCACGAATGCCAGTGATAAAATGATCCGCCGCCTCTGCGATCTATCAATGACAGCGCCAGCATTCAAAGGGGTATGACGCACGATGTTGATGTAACGGTCTATAGCTATCGTCGATATTGTTGTTGTCGACACCATGATATTAGCGCCCTGGGAAGGAAAATAATGAAACTTGAAAGAGACTCGAGCACCAAGCGAGAGTTGCTCCGGGGGAATTATTTGACAAAATTCACTAATGAAACTTTGAAGGAGACAATATTTGATGCACGAGAAAAGCACAAAGTTAAACATCGTAAGACCAGGGAGAAGTTTTTGAGAAGTTTTTGTTATTCAAGCGCCTACGGCTAAAATTAATGCGTGGCTTGTTCAGTTTATATTTTGAAACTCTGGAAGGCTAAACTGTGTCTTTTATTGAAGTTAATTTCAAGAGTTGTTGAAAATAGGGAGGAAAATGAACATGTAATCAACACATTTTTTGCTTTATTTATATTTAACTTACCAACAACCTAAACGAATTTTTCACATAAAAAATTCAAGGCATTTCATAAAAGTTTTTCACTTTTGAATGTTGATTCAATGGAAAAAAAACTTTTGTGTAGACAGAGGAAAACATTTTGTAATAATAGGTTACAAAATTATAGAAAATTTTGGCCCTACCTGCAGCGTTGGAACAAGTTTGCAAAGAGTTTCGCCCATTGTCCACTGTTTGCTAATCAAACTGATCAGCGTGAACGGCATGCAAACGAGGCACAGGCTGATGTCAGAGACCGTCAGGTTGACGATGTACAGATTGCGCGGTGTTTGGATTTTTGAGCTACGCGCCACGGCGAAAATCACGGCCAGGTTCGTCGCCAGGCCTGTTATTATGAGGACGCCGTAAACCACCATGAAAATTAGCTCCGCCGTTTCGCTCATGTGGCTGTTATCTTGTTGCTGCTCTTTCAGGATGCTGCAAACCTGCGAGAGAAAATATAACGCGACTTTATTAGTTCCCTGTCAAAATACTTTGATATATGGTGACAGCACTTTTTCGGAGCTTTTGTGTTTTTGATATATACTTTTTTTAGTCTCAAATAAGGGGGAAGTGCGTCACACAGCGTTGATAATTTAAAATCAATAAAGCTGATACCAAATCCTGGGAGTCAAATTTAAAGAATAATTTTAAGACATTCTGAGGAGCTTCAATAAAATAACTCTGCATAGCTTGATTCATTATAAAAACTGTACCGTGGATAATGATATAGGCAATACGCTAGTCAGCGAAGAGTGGCCGGTTGCATACTATTTCAAAGGCTTTCGTCGTTCAGAATTACTGGGCACTGGTTTTTAATTAAAGGCTCAATCCAATTATTTTTCTTTCCCTTCATGTAAAAATCAATATTGTGTTAAACAGTTTTAACAGTTAAATTATTTATTTCGTTTGATATTTCCTCAATAACATTTTTTATTGAAGCTCTGTACAAATAAAGTATTAAAAAAATGGGATTTAATTTAATATTGGATTGATAATATGTTTGAGATCTTTTAAAATAGAATTTTAAAACACAGCAGAAATTTTAAATTTGCACTGTACGCTTGGGAATATGAGGCAGTTTTATTTTATTTAAATTTAAAAAATACAAAACTAGCCTCGGTGTTTTTTCTTTTCGTTATCCTTTTTCAAGACTATTTTCCATCTTGTTAATGTAAATTATGACTTGCGTGCTGTTTGAATCCTCCAAAAATAAAAATTGACAATTTAAGGCAAATATAATGCTTATATCATGTTCCTCAAAACTACAATACGTCGCATGTTGGGTTTCCTTTCTTTTTGCAAATAAACCCATACACTCACGCAAAAAGGCCTTTGGCGTTTTATTTTTTGTATGGTCTGAAATTTTTGCTCTGCCCGTGGAGCAACTTGGAGGCATAATATCAGACTGCTCTCTGTCACTCAAGCCGTAAACAAAGGGCCCTGTACACATAAAATTACTCCGGTGGTCTCCATTTACGTCAGCGCACAAAAGCAAGAGGTTTCCGTCACAAGCGATGGCTTGTGTAAAATTTAACTTTGCCACTGACACCCCGATATCAATCCATGTCAACGACAGAGATAAATATCACCTGTCACTGAAAATTACGCTCTCTCGTCTTCACGCTTTGAGTTATGGCAGCTGATTTTACATTATCAGCGCCGATTTTCTGCTCGCGGAAACACAGTCGTATTATAAAACTAATTAGTGAACCAACCGTTTCGATTTAAAAAGCATGATTATTATTTGCTAAATTTGAACAGAGAGTTGCGATTTCCATCAATTTGAGGATATGTGTTCCAACATTTCCACATCAGGAATTTCTTGGTTGATTAAATTTTTAATTGAAAAAGAAGAGCTCAATCAAATGTTCATGTGCCGTTTTTATACGGCCCTTTAATACAATAAACAAAAGTTTAGCAATTTTTTTTTAACTTTCTAAAAAAATTTGTGAATCAGGAAAAATCTTGACCAAGTCAGATTGGGAAATTTTGATTTGGCAGGCAAAATACATTTTTAATAAAAATAATTTTTGTTTCCAGCCAAATACGCATGTAATTACAAAGGATTTAATCGATTCAATGACCCTTGATTGATGTAGATGAGTCACTGAAACAAGAGTGTGGAAATGCTGATAAGCTCAAACCGTAGCGTCAATCATCAATAATCAATGTTTTGTGAACAAAAAATAATATATTGTGGAAATTCGTCTGTCAATGAATTTTTTAATGACCCTTTTTTACATGTATTTTTCAAGTGTAAGTCGACTGTGGTGTTTTTTATTTTACCCACTTCGACGGAAAATTTAACAGGGAAATATTGGAAACACAGACTGGCAAGGAAACAAATGTAAAAATGAACTCACCTCCGCCAGGCTGAAATTGAACAGCCCAAATCCGCTTGAGGCATCCATCAGCCCTTGCGCTTGCAGGGTGGCGTTGCAAGATGAAAGGAGTTCGTCGGCGAGGGCGGGATCCATGTCTTTTTTGGAAGATGCGATTGTTGAGATCAAATGGTTCAATTCCTGCAGAACACACGAAATATATAAAAAGAAAGGAGATACTTTCTTTAGGGAAAAATTTCAAAATATTATTTTATGGTGATATACGGAACCAAAAATGAATGAAATAAATAAGGATGTATAAAGGTAGGCTATACAAATTAAAGGAAAAATACGTACTTCTTCTGTACACTGCGTACTTTTAGCCATTGGATGGAGATTTACGTAGCACTTCCATTGAGAAAGTACTCATCGTGCAAGTCTTGTAAAAAGAAAGTGTTTTCCGTTCTACATACCGAAGTTTTTAATTTTCATGAAAATAAAAAGTTCAACGAAGAGCTGGAGAGTTCTTTGTGAATGGACAAAGGTAACCTGAAACAAAGCAATGAAAAAATATTAATGTTCATAAACGTTGACATTTTATTCACCGACTGACCAATTTTCAATATCAGTCAGTCGCTGTTTGCCAATCAACTTTGACCTATAGCTAGAAGTTAGTTTACTTGATCAAGCATTTGCCGAGCGTCCCACATATAATGATTACCTCTCTCTATTAAGTCATAATGAAGAATCGTGTGCCGCCAGTGAGCAAACTCAGTTAGTGCGGATGAACGAGTCGAGTAACCCTCGCAGCGATCAGCAAGGGAAATCCATATTATATGAAGCAACTTTTACGCGACAACTACGCATACAGAGACGACACCTTCTCTCAAACTGATATTGACATTTTGTATGCGTTGCGAAGGGAAATTGATAAACATTCAGCGCGTTGATAACGCAATTTATATCAGAGCTATTAAGTTACAATCAGATTATTCGTTTTTATGTTGAAAATCGTTTGTGATGGGGCAACGTCTCGCGTTACATTTAATTAACAGTTTTCCTACAAAAACACGCTTTGAATTTAAGGTACTATAAATCAATTGAGTCTAAATTAGTTAATGTGGTAATATATTTTCCTTCTGGCTTCCTCATAAAACTCCTCCCAATAGCAATCAAGGTAGTTGCTTAGGGTGGTGCTTTTTAAACACCAATAAAGGGCACTGCTGACCGGCCTGACCGTAAAAAAAGTAGAATCCAATTAACGTGGCATTGATGACACTTCTTTAGAGACTGTTTGTAATTTACAACCAAAATTTTTTTCCTTACCTGCTTAATTTCGATCAAAAACATTTTAAAATTTAATTATATTTTCATTTTTTACTATAAAAAAATCCAAATTGCGTGGAAGTGAAAAAATTAATTTATATATTTTTTATGATAATACAATATTCAAAATTAGGCACTGGAGGTAAAAATGATAATATAATCCATTTCTAGCTTCAGCTTACAGCTGCAACTCAATCTATTTTATGAAAAAATCGGAGAAAATAACTATAATTGTCTTATAAATTACGGTTGCATAAGTGCATATCGTTATTATTTATACTAATTATTATCATTTTTTTATGTAACTTAAGAAATTTATAATGTAAATTAATGTCATAATTTATTCTGATTTCATTAGAATAACCGCTTATTTAATTTTAATATTACTTACCAACTGAGTTGGTTAAATTTGATTGACATAATGAGCAAGAATATGCAATTAATTTATGACTGTGCATAAAAACAATAGAATTGTCTTCAAAGTTGAAAATTGTGTGCAGCAAAATCTTCACATCAAAAGAGAAACTAATTTAATTATTATATCTTTGCTTTATTGCCGTTATGAAAGGATGTGACAGGTGCAATTTCACACAATAGCTCCAAAACATATCTGCCGAAGCAAAACATAAACTTGTTCACTTCACTTGCTACATAATCGATTTTGATTTTCCCCTTTGAAAACCATTCACCTGTAAATTGCTTTTCCTCATATATGGGTATGAACTCAGAACTTTAAACAACATGTTCAGTTAAGCAAATATTGTTTTGTGGTGATTATTTGCCTAACCATAATGAGGAAAATGCCGCGCCAGCATAACCAGCAATATGTATTTTTGAGGTGCTCGAAATATTTTCAAACACGTTCTGTTTATGCTCTCGCTGCTGGATTTAAATTTATGCCGCGGGCGCCGCGTTTGATCAACATCCGCCGAACCCACCGGACAATGTCATCTCACAATAACAGACACACGCTTCTGTTGAGAGTCACTGATGCTGAAAATATGTTCAAGTGCTCTAATCTCCGATGACAGCATCTAACTCTGTTTTCGCGTGATGATTATCACTTGCACTACAAGATTTAATTCCTATAAAATTATCCCGTCACTATGTTGGTTAAAGTTTATTTATAGAGGGAAGTTGACAAAATCAGAAATCCATTTGTTTATAAAAAATTTAGTTACATTTTAATTTTTGTGTATTGACTTGATGTAACATGTTGTGTTTTTCATATTGTATCTGAATGGAGAGTAAATAAATAAATAGGAAGCAATTAAACAAAATTGATATGCGAAAAATATTTTTTTATTTATATTTCAAGCCAGAATCAATTGTAGTACTAAAAATATATTGAATATGAAAAAATCCTAGTTTTCATTCACTTGGTCATATATGGAAATACAGTGTTCATGAATTTAAAAGAGAAATCCTTTTACAATCAATCAATCTCCAAACAAAGTAAATATGTATATCAATGTGACAATATGAAAAAAAAATCAAGAAACATCTATTTACGAGATTTTTAACCTTTTCAACTTTCTTGCTCACCAATGTTTACAAAAGTTGTCGAAATTGAATATACCTCGATATGGCTTCAATCCACAAGAGCACTTAGTGGAAGCGCTTCAAATGTATTGAGTTTGAAGTCAACAACAAATTTGGTCCTCCTCGCACTATATCTCAAGCACTGGGATTTAAGTGGAAAGGTTACAGTCAGTTTCTATTCTTGGTTCGGGAAGTGGCAGATTTTCTGCACTTCGACTTTCTCTGTTCTTTGGCAAAATTGTTCATCGTTATTTCCGCCAGAAGTTCTCTTTTCCCCGAACGGAAGAAGACCCTTGAGATATAAGCGGAGCACCTCTGCTTGTGAAACAATTCCAATAAGACTCTTTCAGTGATAGAAGGAAAACCTGCATTTTTAAAAGTGTTCAAACAACATTGTATGTTCTCTGCACAGACTTTTAATTAAAATATCTGATGAATGTTAAAATTTCTCTCGAAACCATAGTGGTTTTGCTAAATTTGCTTGCAATTAGAGCTCAGCACGGGCTAACATCTTTGTGTGCACTCACAAGCCACACATTTTAACCTCGCTTTGTGTGTGGAAAATATAAACGTGGCCTGCGGGTTGGATACTGTGTTGATGAAAACTTTTTTCAACAAAAAGATTAAAAAAAGCTAATTGAGGACTTTAAGGAGGTCTTTTGCCACCAAAGAGGGCTTAGACTTAAAAGATGGGTAAATGACCAGTAAAATAATGAAATAAAAATGCAGTCCATAAAGCACGCATTTGTTTAAAAATAAAATTAATGCTATTATTTTTAAACTCCCTTATTTTTCTATGTAGCAATGATGAATTATTTAATTTGATTTTTATTACATAAACAACATTTCACTACTTTTTTGTAAGATGAATTAAATGAAGCACCTTTTATCCATGGTTCGGGGCTGGTTCGGGGGAGAAGTAAATCGTCTCTTTTACATATAATTTCAACATGAATAAGCTGTGCATAAATTTTGCTCAGTATTGTTGAATTTCTGGGGATGCTTATTGTTATTTTTGGTTTGACTACTAGCTTGCATATATCGTTGTGGAAAAATAGCAGAAGAGTATAAGAGCGCCTTCCTAATTGATTAAAATTGCATGCCAAGCTGGTGTAACTAGGTGAGACACAAACAAAGTGAAACTAATGAAGTCAAGGGAATAAAAAAAACGTATATTTCCTTGTTTACAAGATGTATCTGCAAGCATCTCATATTTTTTCTCTCTCACACACAAATTGGATTGTTATAACATAGTGTTGAGCTGAATGTCCCACCGGAAAACATTTTGTAAATTCCAACTTGCAAGACGGATTTTTTCACATTGGCAGTCCAAATTCAAAGAGCATTAAATATCGTTCGCTTCATTCAGTATTGAAATCCAACAGGCTGGCGAAATAAAAGTATGCACGGTTTCTCAATCCCAAAGGCTTTTAGTCTTTGGTGCCTTTGCGCAATTTCCGAAATGTGTTGCTGCGTTCGAAAATGTTTGCGTGCCTCTCTCTTTCCCTTGCTGTTGATATGCAAATCATTGTAAATGTGAGTATTGAGCGGAAGGTTGTGCAAAAGGCGTTATTTGTTTGGCGAATGATTTCCAGAGAGCTGTACAAACGATCACAGAGTTCTTCATAATATCAGAATCAGAAATCAAATGAATTCTCTTAGTTCATTTTCCAAGGAATATTTTTATACATACACAAGAAATATTTTATAATTATTAGAGCTGCTTTTTTCAAATGAATCCAGTGAAATAAATAATAATATTTAAATTTAGACAGGAAATTATTCAGCAGCTAAAACTTTCACACGAGAAATAGTAAACTTGGATCTTGGAAAGAAAAAAACAGAGTGAATCTCCGAGGCATAATTCTCTTGTTTATCAGAACGTGAAAGCTACTGATATTGACGTGTCGTTTATTTCTCTGCGAGAGCCATTTGAAGCGACCGCGTGCTGGGCCTGGATTCAACATAGAACTTGCGTAGAAAGTTTAATAATAAAATGGAAAAATCGGCGCTCAGCCACTTTTCATTGCTTCCACATCTGCTGCCTCTCTTCAAGAACTTTTAAAACTGAAAATAACTTATCGCTAATCGAAATTCAAAAGCTCACATTATTACCACCGTGATTGATTAATTCTCGCAGTCTCTGGTGAACTTCTGTTTGCTCTTTACACAAGCCACAGGCCAAAGTGCTCTTGCGAACAATCACCTATGTAGATATCCATCCAAAAGTTTTGTTCCGGCGCTCAAATTGCCTTGAGAGTGTCTTAATGAAATATTATACGCATTCCTTTCATGCAAAGCTCATCGGCAAAATTTATATTTAATTGGCTCAAACAACAATCTCTATTTCGCTTTCAACTGGCTCAAATGCTATATTTATCCTTTGCCAAGCATTATAATCGCCAACATATCGCACGACCCAGTTGCATTAACTTACAAAGTGGCATTATAATCTGTCAGCATTCTACAAACGATTTCTCTCTATAATTTGAATCTCTGCGTAGGTGGTTCTAATTATTAGTGCGATGCCCAAGTGTAGAAGCTACAGAACCGTTCCTGTTTCTGTGTAGGTTGGTTTGAACCATTGAGATGTATATTATAAATATTCGCCCATGCTTTGATCTCATCAAGACGACGATATAACGTCAGTTTGCAGATGCGTGGCAAATTAGATTTTCCCCTTGTTAATTATTAACGATAATTCTATTTGGGGTCCATTCCATAGAGGTATACGAGTCTCTTGGTTAACAAACTGCCGACGAAAATTTAATTAATGTAATTATTGCTTTGATTGAAAACGGCAGATTTTTGATAGGCTTTGTGAGTCGTTTATAGGTTTTATAGGAAAAACAATCAACGACTCACAAAAAACATAGAGGAACTCCTATTTTTCAATTGAAAAAAATTTATATATAGAGCCTTTAATTGTGAATCAATTTCTGCCATACAAAAAATTGTGTATTTAAAATTAAAAAGAAAAAAAATAATTTAATTCACTCTTTCATGTAATAATAATATTTTCTTATTGACATAGTATTGTTAATTATTTGTCCAAATAGTTACTATAAATTGTTAACATTCAATTTTTAAAAGCAATTTATTTAAAAAAAGGGAATTGTTGGTCAAAGCAGCACCATCACTAGCAAGAATTTGCTTAAACTTCCGAGATCAAAAGACTCCATCCACCGGAAATATTAAATTTTTTGTTACGTCTGTTATACCATTACATTACTTTGCTCTCTTAATAATTTAAAGCTATACAACCCAGCAAAAAAATCTAATTCACTGTAATTCTATTAACTTTTAACAAGAAATAAACCATTTTGTGCTATTGAAAAAAATGCTCTGACCAATGCACTAATTTTAGCACAAATATTTACTTATGTTGTAGGAAATAATTAAAACTGAAACATCAGAGAGGAAACCATTAAGAGCTCATTTGTTCCTACCTTAAAGCGCGGGGTGGTGCGGGCACAGCATCCGAGATCCAGCGGTGCAAAAGAGGCGAGCGCAACTTGTTGTCTGCTTTTATAGCAGCCACGGCTCCGAGCCTAGCGCATGTCTTCTCGCAGCCTCTCCGCTCCCTCATCCCTGGAGCACTACATTCGCCCTCGCTTTTACTTTCTTTTTACTATTTGCTCCATTTGCAGGATTTTATCAGAAACAATTAACAATTAAATGCTCTATTCAGTGCAATATTCATTTAAAATAATGCAGATAGGTGCAATTAAAAGTGAAATGCAACAACTCTGATTGCTCTTGGAGTTTTATGCAATTGGTACACTTTTCTTAAATTGAATTTTTGCATTATTCTCAAGGAGAAGACGGTCTTAATTACGTTATTGGATTTTATATTAACTGCGAAAGTTTCAATTAAGGCATATTATTGTAGCGCAATTTTGTCTTGTGTTTTAATTGATTTAAGAATGCCAATACAAAAAAATGTATTGTAAAATGTAATTTCCAATCATATTAGTTTCAAGAAAATATTTATCGGGTTCAAATTTATTATTGCTAATGATCTGCAAGAAATGCTCGCAAAGTAATGTAAACATTTTTTTAATTTTTTTTTTTATATATTTTAAAATAAAAAATGAATGGTGCCCTCTGCACCAACAGTTAAGAGCGCAGGTGGAAAAGACTTCTTTTTATTGGTCTGACGATAAAAAAATTATTTCTCTGTGAGATTCGCTACGTTCACTTAATAACTCTCTTTTCCATGAAAATAATATTAGCTTGAGGCGTCTTTATCCAATTATGAAATGTGTTCCCTTTGTTACATTTTCCTTGCAAACATTTCAATTAAGCATTTATTATGTTTCTTAAAAAGGAAGTTTTAATTACAAAAAAAAGTAGTACAGACAGTACAGTTAACATTGAGCTTTATTTAGCTTCAATTTTTATTCATGCCGTAATACATCGTCAAAGCTAACTATATTCTATTGGCAGGTTAATTACAATTATAATTATTTTCAAGATTTTTATGGAAATTGCACAGCAAGAAAAACTTCAAAAATACAAATTAGAGATGTCTTAAAATTAAATCACACTGTAATTGCACGTCATTGCAACCAATTGATGTAGATAATTTTATGCCTGAATAAGAGGTTTGACAAGTTTCAATAAAATTTTTGTTTATTTACGCTTCACATTAAATCACATTCACTAACTAAGTAATTAGTAAACAAATGTCATGTTATCTTTTCATCGATATTCAGTGAATTTTTGCGAGGCATGATAGTGGCTTCATTGATACCTCAAAATAATAGCAACAATGTGAATTCTTAAAGACGAGCGACCTCTGTTTCGCCATCTCCATTGCCGGCGTCATACTTGTTTTTCGGTTCGTTCCAAGGTTGCGTTTCGCCAGATCCCAGGAGTGAATAGGTAATAACCTCGACGGCGTAGAAGCCAACCGTGGTGAAAAAGATGATCTGCCATTGACCAAGGCTTTGCTGTCGTGAGTGAAGGACACCTTGAAATCAGCCCCAAATATAAGCCAGCTTAAAACTTACGTTGCCGTGCGTCAGCTCTCCGACGAAAACGGGGACAATGAAGCCTGGAATGGTGGCTGCTGTGTTGGTGAGCGCCATCAATGTTCCTGCAAAAGTCAAAATTCATTTTTCTTCAAAGTTGCAAAGAAATTAATTTAAATTTAGAAAACGTCTTCTATAAAAAAACTGTTCCTAGTCAAACCACAGCAAAAAATGAATCAAAACAGAAAATAAAATAATCATGAATATTTTCCCCTAATTTTATGTAAAATACACAAAGAAAGCCAGAGTTGCTAAACACAAAACAAGCGCAAAAGTTTTGGCAGGAATAAGAGAAGCGCAGTGGAAGTTTCAGACAATCTCAAGTTAGGGCTTCATGACTTTTAATTAAAATAAAGTAAAATTATACAAGATATTAATTTACTCTGTTGTTGATGTTGTAAGAGTATTGTGAAATTTTTATATATAAGTGCTTGCCTCTGCAATAGATTAATAAATTTTTTTTTCATCTAAAACTGATTAATCAAAAAATGCTTTCAAGTTCAAGTATAACTTTTTAATTAAATTTGCAGAGCTGTATAGAAAAATTAATTCAGCGTCAGAGCCATGAAAACGTTTGACATGCTCAGACACAATACCTGCGTAATTGGGTGAAATGTCAATGTGGTTGGAGAGGAATCCTGAAAACATGCCCGCAATCGCAGTGATGCCGACGGTCATCAAAGCCACTGCCCATGTGCGGTTGCAGCCGGCAAAACACACTCCAACTAGGCAGATGGCCGGCACAACAGAAGCTATCATCATATTTTATGTTTCATGATAAGCGGACATAAAAAAGCATTCAATATACCAATAGCGGTGGCCAATTTGCGAGCGGCCGTGGTAGAAAAGAAGCCCTTTGAACGGGCCCAGTCTAAGCGGTTGCTGAAAACGAGCCCAAATACCCACATGGTGAAAAAGGGCAAGGCGGAAAGTCCGGCGTTCTGTGAAATGTTCAAAGCTTTCATTGAATTTTATATAGAAAGCTACGTGAAATGTCAGAAAATTGAAGACAGAATTTACATTTTTACCAGAAAACTTATTACCAGGAAAAATCTTTGAAATATATAAAAAGTTTACTTGTAACTTTGTTCAAATCAAACATATTACATTAAAAAGTCCCCTAAATTAAAAAATAAAAAATTTAATTTAATTTAAAGCCTCTTTTTTGTTTCCTTCTTCTGGCAATACATCCAGAGATTATGAATAATTATTTCTGAACATTTTTATAATCATGAAAATTTAATTTTTTTAATTTTTGTGCCAATCAAATCAAAATTTATAATTAAAATTTGAAGCAACCTTTGGCAAACGAGTCATTAAAACCTCTAAAGAGATCTGCGTAACACTTTGGTTTCAGTTTTCTGACACTTAAATTTTGCTGTAAGCGAGCCTTTGTGGGGCTGAAAACGAACCTGTTGAATATCAAAGCGCAACACTTGCTTCATGTACGAGGGCAGCTCGATCAAAAGCATGTACCAGCCGAAGTTGCTGCAGAAGTGGGCAACCAAAATGGCCAGAAAGGGACCTGAGGTTAGCACGGCGCGCCACGGAACAGGTGCGTTTGACTCGTGCTTGGCTTTCGGCGCGTCTCCTTCCAGCGACGTGATAATCAAAGTTCGCTCCTCCTGCACCCCCAAGATCAATATAACATTCTACTTCATTTCCTCCCTCATGACCAAATAATATTTCCTACCTGCGAAATGAGTGGGTGCGTTTGAGGGCTGTCAAAAACCAGGACGGGCCACAGCAGGCACCAAAGAGAAGCCAAGGCGCCCATTATGTAAAAAACCGCTTCCCATCCGATCCAGCCGGCAATCAAGCCGGACATTGGCATGGAAATTACCGTGCCCAGAGCGGTGCCCGCGTAGACAATTGCTGATATTTTGCTTCTTTCAAACGGTGGAGTCCATTTGGCAATCATGACGTGCATAGCGGGAAATGTGACGCCCTTTAAAGAAGAAACAGGACAAAATTGATTGAGCATGTTAATTAATTAATTAATATTTTTTGCAGTGGTTTGAAGCCAGATTAAAATTTTTGCTGGTAAATGCGTCAGATTTTTTCTCTTGGCCACATTATAGTTGATTTTTTGTTTGCAGCTGCGCAACCATTTGGCATTTTGAAATGTTTTTGCTGTGGTAATTTATATTTCTATTCCTTTTTCAATCATTATAAATTTTTATTGGAAATATATTAAACACATAAATAATTAAAAATGAAGAAATAAAAATTAGCAGTGATAAACATGGTTTCAATCTAAAAAAAGTAATGGTTCTCATCAAACTAAATTCCATGAGACAAGATTTTCAGAGCTAATTTGGTCAAGAACGAAGAATTCTTTAATTGACTAATGACTATAAATAGTTCTTGAATGTTTTTAGAGAGAAGTTCTCAAATCAATTATAAAAACTGCTCAAATAAATTAATTAAAAAAGATCTAATTCCGGCCTATAGGAAATGGTGAAAGAAGTACTAATCTAACCCCTGAAAATCTAAACTATAATAAACTTTAGTATATCTACTAAAAGATGTTAAAAAATATAAATATTAAAGCTTGGCTTGTGTGTTGCGCAACTTGTTACAAACTATTTCAATAATAAAATAATGAAAAAAAAATTTTAATATCTTGAAAAGCAAGTTGAAAAAATAGGAGTGCGTTTGCGTCATGTGCCGTTCATCAAAGGAAAATCACTTTACATCTTCATTAAATTATTTTTCCACTTCAAAGGGAGCATAGCTTGCCAAGCGTTTTTTTTTCCATCGGAAGTAATAATATGAAAAATGTTACCGCTCCGAGTCCTTCGGCCACTCTTGCTGCGATGAGTGCTCCGTAACCGAGGTCGGCGGCGATTGGGGTGAGCACGGTGAAGAGCACGTTGATCAACACCGCCACATACATGACCCATTTTCCGCTGAACATTTCCGCCACTCGGCCGCCGGGAACTTGGGTCACCAGGTAGCCCCAGAAATAGGACCCAAGCACCAGGCCCTGGATACGCTCGTTCCACTCGTACCTGCCGGTCTGAGAGGCATAAAAAGACACGTTCTTCAATTCAATTCTTTTATTTTTCTTGATTATGATTTGATTATTTGCGTTAGTATATTGCATTGGCTGCAAAAACATTACGAATCAAAAGTTATATATTTTCTATAATAAAAGAATGAATGAAAATTGTGTCGAATTTAAAAAGCGTTTGAAAAAAATATATTGTTTAGTATTTAAAAGAAATTATGATACAGTTGAATAATATAATATTATGTTGAAAACTTATTTAAATATCAGAAAATTGCATTTAAAATTTTAGGTATCTCAAATTTTTTATTTTTTTATTTGCTATTCATTAGAACTACATTTTATAAAATTAATGTGCAGCTGTACTAACAAATTCCAAATTATAAAATACAACAGCATGAAAAACTACCACCGTAAAAAAATGCCAGAACTAATTTAATGTAGACAGTTATTTTTTAAATGCTGAAATACATAGAAATCCATTTGATTAATTGGGAAAGAATCCAGATATGGATTTTTGCGTGCAAGCGCAACTTGCTTAAGCACGGGTAAACTTTTCATCCAAAGAGTGCACCGGCAGCTAGAGCCATTAAAAAAGGAGGACTTTATTGCCACAAGCACAAGCACCCCTTTCAAAAAGGTGGGAACTGTGCCGCGGTAATTACACTCCTCACTGCTGGAGGCAGGTGTTTTTTACTTTTAATTTTAAAAATTTACTAACTGCTTTTAAAAATTAATGTATCTTTTCTACAAGCTCAAATTTTTATAAAATTATAAAAATTTTTTAACTTCATTTAATTTTTTAATAAATATATTTTCTTTCTTCCTCAGTTGCAGAATTCAACGTTTAATCCCTTTTTTTTATAACCGAAAACTTGAATGTACTAAACTTTATAAATACAGGGAATTTTTTTTATAAAAAATTACATTTTAAAATTAGAACATTAATCATTGATGTTTGAAATTTTTCACCTTTGTTTTGCTAAATTTTTATTAAAAAAGGAAGTTCATTAAGTTCAATTCCAATTAATCTATAATTTTTTTGTATCTTTCAGTCAACACATTTTGCTTCCACACCTTTATATCCACTTCAAAGGTATGCAACAAGCACAACGCACGACTTCTGCCGGTTGCATATATCAAAAGAGCAATCCAAGCGGAAATAATGGTGTCGCAAAACGAGCAATTTTATTATTTCTCCCTTTGACAATTATTTCCTCGTAACGAAACACTCAATTCCACACAAGACTCACCTGAAATGCGCCTTTGGTACCGGCGGATGCCAAATCCTCCGTGGGATAGACGCACATTTCACCTGCTGGGGCGCCAGTGGCATTGAGTAGATCTGTTGAGTGGACATCCGAGTGTGAAGTGAGGGCTGTGCTGTTGATCATGGCCACGATGCACACGCTCAGATTCACCTTCAGACCGTAGATTATGGCAAAGCCGATTGACCCCAGCACGGCGAAAACGTACCTCGCAGGCAACCATGCTGTTGACAAAAAAAATGCGTTGTTTACGCAGAATTTTTTTCTGCTGCACAGTTTACAAAATATACAAGTTCAAAATCATGAAATAAGAAAAGAATGAAATTTCCAAAATTTTTAATTTAAGAACATTTATTAAATTTGCCAGTTGTAGAGTGCATGGAAAATTAGTATTGTAATTGGGTAGTGCCTTCTGCATCACTAAAAAAAGAAAAAAAAAAAATATTCCTTCACTGTTCATATACATGCCCATTATTCCACCATACTGCATTTTACAGATCTTGGAATTTTTAAGCTTCGTCTTGTAGTTTTTATTCGCTAAATAAATTCAAATTTTTATTCAACTCTCAAATTTGTGGTTTTGAGCCTAAAAGTTATAAGAGAGATTTTTAAAAAGTGAAAGGTTGCAGATTCATTAATTTAATTGCAGAGTTATTAATTAATTTACCCTATTTTATGGCAGAATATAAACTGAAGAAAATACAAAACAGAAGACATGAAAACTCAAACCGAGCGGTCAAATGAACAAATCATAAGTACAAACATCATTCTACTTTCTGTTGTTAAATCATTTAAATATTAAGATATCCCCCACCTCAACTAAGATTCCAACATAATACAAATTTCTATAGAAATCGTCATCGTCATTCTGATAATGCATGCTCAGTTTTGAGCTCTCGCAAACCACTATCGTAATGCAGCAATTTTCCGCCATTCAGAGCAAATTTTGGCTTGCCCCTGGGACCCTGGGGATTGTGATTGATACGCCAATCATTCTCCGAATAGCAATAAAGAAATGCCCGGCATGAGCAAAAAATTAACTGGACAAAAATCGGTCCCAAGTAGTGGATTCCGCAGCAATATACGAATGCTCACCCTCGTTCCTCAAGATTCTTTTCTTCATCAAATAAAGTAAATATTTTCCCCAAAGCGATTCCGAGTCGAGCAATGCTGTTCAGGTTTACAGCCAGTTTTCTGGGCTAGGACGTTGTTTCGTGCTTCTCCATTTGTCTGTAAATTATTCTCTGAATATTTTGTGACAACAAATGCTGTCCATAATTAAATGCTAGAGGCAAACAGGTCCTGGTCAGAGCGTGGCTGTTTCACAGTAAATCCTTTATTGCATTGTGAGCCATTTGAATTATATTAAATTTCCAGTTTCAATTATATAAAAGCCTCTAGAGCCCTGATTTGGCAAGCGGAAAGTTTGCAAATTTACGTTATGTGTGAAATTCTAAAATTGAGGCAAAATGCTAAAATGTATAATTTTGTTTCTCCTTGGTCTACATTTTGCAAATGGATGGTATATTTGCTTGTTTAAGTCAGTCCCACGCCTAAATATGTATAAATTAAAAATCTTTTAACTGAATTAAATCAACCGTATAATTTTAAATACTAATTTAATTAAATTGGCTTATATTATTACTAATCGTTTGAGTTTGATTTTATTTATATATAAATTTAACTTTGTATAGCACATATTCATCATCACTTTGATTTTAAATTATTATTTTCTCTTTAATAAATAAAAAATAATATTTTGAACTCGTATTTTGAGCGACGAAAAGTGATGTTGAGAATTTCTCCTGCAGCTATTTAGCTTTTACAGGTGCGTTCTCCTGATGTTTCAGCGCATCAATTGAGTCTGCGGTGGCGCCAAACGAAAATCAAATGGAGCCTCCAAAACCAAATTGTGTGCGCTTTATGTCATGAGAGAGCGCGCGTCGGCCTATTTATAGTTCCAAAAGGGAAACGTCCAAAAACAAACACAAATCGATTTTGGCCGTTTGGTTTTCAAAGGCATATATATTGAGATGGACCAACAAATCACTCTATACAGGTCTGCTCGTGAATTCAATTCGCAAACGAAATGTGTTAACAGGTGTGCACTTAATGGGCCATGCAGCTTGGCACACAAACAAACACGCACAACTTGACGATTATATCTGGGCGCGGGACGGAGAAATGCAGAGGGAAAATATAGCGTGGATGGGGATGCGGATCGTTCCGAGTGTGCGCACCAGGCGCACGCACAACGCAGCTGATTACAGGGGTGAAAGGGTAAATGAAAGTCACCCAGAGATGGGCTCGCGGAAACCGGCACGTCCGTCCCAACGCGAAAACAACACGGACCGTGATTAGCAGAAATAAAATGCATCAGTGGAGTGCGTGATTTAATTTCCGACGAAGCCCACCCTCCCTGTCAGATTGGAAATAAATTGATTCCGTGATGCACTGATCAAGAATTAAATACATAATCGATTTTTTGTTAAAGATTTAATTATTTTGGATTGATAAAAATAAATAAATGCAATATTTTGACAAATTTTGGAGTTTTATAGCTATTATTTAATATTAAAAATTAAATAAAAATAAAAAAAATATTTGCAATCTCATTCAACAATTGCAGTGCGAAAAAATTGCAATTCTTTGGATATTTTGGAAATTTTCAAACAAATTGTTCACTGCACTAATTAATTAATTAATCAATTGATTCAGTCCAAACTGAAGCTTCTCCATACCTGGAAATTTGCAACCTGCCGGCTGCTGGCGGTCCATGCTGCTGTCAGCTTCCATGCCGGCTCTTCTCAAGGTGACTCTTCGTCCAACTCGTGGATCTGTCGGGTGTGTGCGATTCCGAGTATGCGCGGCGTCTAACGCAACTTATTCATGCTCTTGCTAAGAATAAACACTCTCGAACGCCGCCGCCCTCCGTGTCGTCATCAATGTTTTTGTGCAGAGTCAAATGTGCGTGACGAGAATAAAATTTAAATGGTTAATTTGCAATTATTTTCAATTTAACTAAAAAATTTTGTGGGTTTGGATTGTTTTGATATATGTAAGGCCGGCTGCAAAACAGTAGAGCGCAAGCCCGTGGGGTGTGCCGCCAGATTTAGTGCCCCAAAAAGGGCGCGCACCCCTTGTAGTGGAAAATCGGTTGTCTCTCTGCTCTCTTTGTGCGAAGGGAAACTCCGCGCGCGATCCTCCAACAGAGAAATCTTTTCCGTCTCTCGTAAGTTGTTTTCTCCTCTTCACTTCTTTTTCCTTTGTTTTATACTTTTTACATCAAACAAAATGTGATAAAGTGTTGGTTTGCTTTCCCTCTCTTTAATAAAGATGGAAAAGCCCTTGGGCACACGAAACGTAACATAACCAGTTGGTGATTTTGCGACAAAAAAGGTATAGAGACCAAACACTAAGGCTCTCGCATTATTTTCTCTGTCAGAATAATTTAGCTTCAGCGCTGAGTGGGTCTAGCATTTAATGAGATTTTCACAAGAATTAATAATGAGGAATCTACAAACAACCACATTAATTTATCACAGCCTGAAATTTAATTATTTATATTTTGTTCGCATTTTAGTACATTTCTGTTTATTCTGAATTTCAGCCTTTTTATTATATTTATCTGGAAATTTTTTATGCTTGTGCAAGAAAGTTGAAGCTATTTTTTTCATAGATTATTATTATTATTTTTTTTTTTTAGCCAAAATGAACAGTGTAAATTGCTTATTAATGTTTAAAAGAAAAAAAAATATTTTAACCAGATATATTTTAATCATGGTATTTAATCATGACTTAAAATTTAGTTAATTTTTACAAAATGCTTGTTTTCTTGAAATTATGTGCTCAGTTTTTAATTTAGTATAGCTTTCGATGTTTAAAAGCTTAATAATTTGAATGGATTTAGGTGATATAGTAATTTTTAATATTAAATTGCTCCATATTTATATGATTGGAAAAAGTGATATATTCATAAAAATAAGAAAAGAATTCACAAAAAGGAAGAAAAATGAACAACCCTCTCATTATGAGCAATAAAAACGAGCAGGGAGTGCACATTTCAAGTCTCTTGCGTGTGGATCTTTTTATGGCTTAATAAAAACAAGATGATACTTTTTTCTTATTCATTAATGCTATTGCATGAAGCAATCAATTAAAAAATTGTATTTTTTGAGGAACTTAAGACTTCCTAAAACAAAAGTATTCCGATTAAATCTAAATAAGTAATTCGTTCAATTTTTTTAAGTTGAAATAACTAAAACGCGAGAGATTCTTAATGACAATGAAATATAATTGGAATTTAAACCTATAAAAAACTGCCTAGCACAGTTGTTTTGCCATACATTTTTATACTCCTTCTTTCAAGTGCAGCAAAAACCGCGATAGCGTTTTAAAAAGTTTGATTGAGGTGTTAGTCAAGTAGCGAGCACACATTCTCAACACGCCAGACGCGAGCAGCCAATTGCCTTTGTCAAGAGTTGTGTTTATATAAATGGCCCGCCATAAATCCACAGCTCGAATACGAACTCGAGCAGGAAAATAATGAAAAATTCTTTCTTCCGGACGAGTCAGCTATTGAAGCGAATTAAATCGATAAACGCGCGGGACTAGAGCAAAAGTTGGGCATAATCGGTACCAGTAGGCACTATTGTATGAAAGCGCGCGCGGGCCGAAATTCGGAGCTGGCACAGGGCGCGGGTGTCGATGATGAGCTGCAAATTAACAAAGTCGTAAAGCGTGGGAAAAAATCGATCCGATCGAAATTTCTCTCATGCAAGGAAAATTCATTTCGCAGGTCGCCGCGATGGGTCGGCAGTGCCAGGCGTGCGACTCGAGCAGGCTGGACAAGACGACCTCCAAGTTGCCCGAGCAGTGCAGAGGTCCGGTGACCGCCTGTCGCTTCACCATCGCCTACACCAAGGAAGTGGTGGTCGGAATCGGGCCCCAGACCTACCGCACCGAGCACCTTACCTCTGCCTTTGGAGACACGCTCAATAAGGTCAGATTGATTTTACTATTTAAATTATAATTAGAATTACATTAAATATGATAATCTCGGTAAAAAAAACTAAAACAACCTCTATCACGTTGTTATTTTATCAAAATATAATATTTAATTAATGAACTATTTTTTATAAATACTTAATTTTTTTCAAAACTAAAAAATTGGGATAAAAAAAGCAGTTATCTTTTTCAATTTCATAGGATTTTCTTTTCTTAATTTTATTGCAGTACTTTGCAGGAAGGTAGAAAAAAAATTATTATTTTTAAATCCATCTCAAATTTGATGAAGCTTTTAACATAAATTTTTTAATTATTTATTTACTCTCCTTTTGATAGACAGTCATGAATATAGCAAAATACATTTTGAATAATTAAGAAATTTTTTGTCCTGAATTTTAAACAATTTAGTTAGCCAACATTCTGTTAGGATATTATTATGACTAATTGTAAGATACTTTGTGAGGCACACCAATATTTTGATAAAAATGCTTAATATAAATTTGATCTAAAATTGCACATGCTTTTTCATCTTAAAATTTTTTACACATTTTCTTTTTAGCAGCCAGGAACTCATAGAGCTTTTATGGAATTCAGAATATAAGATTTGGCTTAAAATAGATATTAAATTTAATTAATTCGATTTCTCTGCCTGAAAGTTATACACTTAAAATCATAAGCGATTTTAAGCCAGAGGAAAAGTTAAGTGAAAACTTTGTTGTCCTGGAGCAGGAAATAAATTTAAATTCAATTTACCAAAGGAAATAACAAACATCGTTTGACTCAATGCTATTTGAATTGAGCAAACGTTATCCTTCCAGCTTCTGCAAACTCTCATTATTCTGCAAACAACAAGCAATTCGATATCTTATATTTGATGAAGCATGTAGGTTGATTCAGTTTAATTGCAAACCAACAAATCAAGCATTCTGTTTTAGTTGGAGCAAACTAATTAGGTGAATGCAGTGGCGTAACCTGAACGGCGGACGCCCCTATTATGTAGGCAACGCATTGACACAACTGTTAGTTGGTGCTTAATTCATTTATTCATGACCTCTGGGCACGGGCACTTTTTCCTGACGTGCATGGGCAAGTGGAATCTGGAATTTCCACATTTTCCCTTAGGACTTTCACTAACACTAATGCAAACCAAAATCATCAATTCTCTTTGAAATATGCTTCACATTAAAAAAAAAATTAATAGAAAATTTTAGTAGCACTTTTAACTTGGTTTATATTTTGATTATTTTATTTAAATGAAAAATAATGATATAATAAATTATATTATTTATTGAAGAAAACTATTTTTACGCCGGTTGAGTTGCATTTTATGTAATGTTTTTAATCGTGATTTAAAGATTGGAAGTTGGAAAAAATGAGAGACAGCAAAATACGTTTGATTGAAATTGTAGAATATGGCTGCTGTGTAATGAAGCAGTTCCATATTCCATATTGCAATAAAATTTTCTCAAAACTTGAAAAGCAGGCTGCTGATATACTATCATTGTATTTTTTATTATACTTGTCAGCGAATTGCATGTTGGAAAGCCGAGCACTGCAATAAAAATAATTCGCTGCGGTCGACTGACAGTGGTGCGTGTTGAGTCGGTAATAGTTGATGGGTCGGTGCCACCACCAGCATTTTTCAGTCCTTTATTGAATATCGATCTGTCGAGTTAGTCTCTCTGTAATTTTTTTTATCGGCAGGTAACCAGCACGCGGGGATTCGCGCTCGGAGCCAGACTTGCGCCGCGCTTCTCCTCCTCGGTTAAACGACCCCTCAGCAGCGTAAAAGCGGCCGCGCCGAGAATGGAAAGAACGGGACAGCAGTGCGTGCAGGTCGTCAGGCAAAACGCTCACCCGTTCAACTCGAGTGCGCCGAGACCACCTGTATTCAAAATCGCGGCAGGCCCTGGGTATGGAAGTCTGGAGAAATTCATTTAAGAAATTGAATCAAATTTAAAATAAAAATGATGCATTTTTTTATTATATGCAAATTAAAAATTATAGATTGCATTTAATTAATTTAAACATACAGATTTGTAATTTTCTAAATAAATACTTTTTACATACCAAAGTTTTAGGAAATTTCATCATTGTAATTAAAAAAAATTAACATAATTTTTAATAAGCCGTGAATGGTAAAATTTTCTGTTAATGATTTTAAAATAATTGAGAGATAGACCGAAATTCTCCATTTAGATGAGTTGGAAATTTAAGGACTCCTTATTGATATAGTCAAATCAAGTCTTTACAACAATGGTGTTTAAAATTTCCAATTGTCTTTCAACAATCGCAAAAATATGTTTATATTGTTGGACGTGATTTGACTATGTCAATAAGAAGTCCTTAATTAAATACTATATTAAAAATAAAAATTTATTTTTAAATATTTTTACTTTTCATTCAATTTATTTGACGCAGGCCTGGTTTTTACGAGACAAGAATGCAAAATCTTCCGAAACGAATCCCATTTCAAAACCACTTGGGTCATGGCAGGACAATAACAGCCCCTGTGAGGATAATCTGCAACAAAGGTGTTCCAGTGCAGTGCAAATGCTGTGATGTTTGTGTCAACGAGGACTTCTGGATCAGCAAGGGGAAATTCATTTGCAACGAGTGCAAAGGCAAACAACAAAGTGGCCAAAATTATTTGTTTGTGAAGGCAAGGGACTGTCGAGAAGATCACAGTCACGAAGGAACCGAAGCCGCAGTTCGACTCCGACCCAGAGATTGTGAGAAAAAATCAAAATTCAGAGAGGCCTACCTAGAACTGTATTTCAGCTGAAAAAAATAATAAATTTTTGACAAATACTTTAGTAATTTATTCAACAATCAATCATTTCAAAAGCAAAATAAAATGCATGACTTCTATAAGAAATTAGATAAAATTTGTCACATTTACAAATAAGTTAGAATTTACGGATGCAAGTGCCTCTTCCTGGCCGAAGTGGAAATGCCAGAGTCGGAGTGGCTGCCGACCGAAGCTTGGTCTGCTTCGATGGCAGGCACTTCATTGTCTTTTTTTTCATCCTCCACAGGAGGTTTCGTTTTTGCACAAACATAATCCGGTTTGCTGCCGTGGCTCATTTTCATGACTTCGTCGTCAAGTTGTTCCACGATTTTGTGCAGTGTTTCCAAATCAAACTTTGCCAACAGTTTGGCCACGTCCGAGTCAACCGAGTCCGTAGAACTTTCTTCCTCACTTCCGTCACTGCTGCCATCCTTTTTGGAGTCTTCTAGAGGAATTATTTCCAAGTCGTCTAAATTTTCAGGCGCAATGCAGTTCTCAGGCACATCTGGAGTTGTTTTCCGACTCGAGTCACTCACTTCGCCTTTGAGGAGTGAGGTCAGCTCGTCCAGATCGACCATTTGTTTTCTGCAAATTGGATGATTAAAAAAAGGAAATTCACAGTTAAGAAAAATCACCTCAAGGTTGACTCCATAACAGACGAAGACAAGTCTATGAAAGGGTTTGGTTTAGCATCAAGAGGTGGTTCAACAGGTACATTTTCCATGGGCATCATAAGAGGATTTTGTTTAGGGACCCCCCTGTTGGGGAACATCAGCTCCGGAAGATTTTCCAAAGGTGACAGCGACATCTAATTTAAAATAAATTTCGTTAAATTTTTTATTTGCAGTCTAACCAATAAAACCTACATAAATTTTCCCGCAGTACTTTCCAGAATAGTTGACCAAATTAAACCAGCCGGAAATCTTTGGAAGGCCATACTTCAGATCGGCAATTTGCACTGCTGCAAAGCACAAAATTGCGTTGGATTTTGTACTGGGTGTGTCCGAGCAGCTCGGCAGTTGCCAAACTTTCAAAACAAGATTTTCTCCTCCCTATTCAAACAAATTAATAAAGCACAAAATGTATTAAAAAAGGTACCTCTAGTAAAAGGTGTGAGGGCAACTCGACTTCGCAACTCCAGTTCCACGCAGGGTCGATTGAGTAGAGAATTATGGGACTGGTTTTGACGTCTCCCTCGTTGGAAATGGTGACGTAGGTGCAGGGCTCTGAATGAGTGATGGCTGTTCTGGTGGTGGTTTTCGTGTAGGGCAGCTGGATCGCCTTTTCCACCTTGATGTGGCACCGGAAGGTCTTTTTTGGCGCCTCTTCCTTGGGCGCCGAGGTGTCCGTTTTTGAAATCCGCAGTCTCTGCAGCTGAGAGAGAAGAGTTGTGCTCCAGAGTTGGTCGTTACTTTGTGATTCCTTTTCACTTTCCTCTTTTTCGGAAATATCAGTTTGCGTGGCTATCGACGAATGGATTTGGTCCAGCGGTTTGTCTTTGGTTGTGGAGCTCTTTTTGAAATACTCCAGTCGCACAACAAGGGAGGCATTTTTGTTGCTGAGGGGCACTTCGGAGTTTTCAGTTTTTAAAGGTAAGGCTAGGCTAAGAAATGCGGATTCGCCACTAATGTTAAATTGGTCCTCAAGAAAATTGATTTCCGTCACTGGCAAAGAAGCCTGAAACGTTAAGAATTAATTTTTACACATTAATTAACTCGTAGGAAATTTACCCGTGCAACTTTTATGTCTTTGTTTTGTGGATGATTTGTTCTGTAGTAGATATCAAAAGTGATCTCATCCTCAGCACTGCCTAACAATTTAAAAAGGCAACTCTGGTCAGGTGTGTTGAGAGAAAACACTAGTTTGCTGTTCAATTTTGTCTCGACGGAACAAACTGCAGATTTGCTGGTGAATTTTTTAAAATCCAAATGTCCTAAAAACAGGAGAATAATTTAAATTTAAAACAAATAATGCTTTCCTGGACTTATAAAAAATTACCATTTTCATTTAAAACAGGAATTTTGCACCCGACATAACAATCAGCCTCCAGACTTGCTCCAAACAACTCTTTCACTTTCAGAATTGCAATGTTCAATGTGTGAGTAAAAACAACCTCATCATCCGCTTTTGTCTAAAACGAGTTAAAAAATTTAACAAAAAATTATTTTTATTATTTCTAAAAATTACCACGGGTTTTCTTTGATCTGCAGTTGGACTCGGAGCCGCACTATTTCTCAACCCTCGTTTCAGCTCCAGTTGACTGACTTGCTCATCTGAGCCGAAAGCGAGTAAGCACATGACTTCTCCCACCTGCTTGCCACTTTTTGGAGAGACGACTTGCAGCCATTGATCGACAGAAATCACAGGCATCTGCAATCAATTTCTGTTTAATCCAAACTACCAAAAATTTTGAACAACAAGACCTTGCAATCTAGAAGGGCTTTGGTCACAAGACTGTCGTGATAGGCCAGGTAAAAGGTGTGCAAAGGCAGCAGGGTGATTCCGACAAGTTCGTCTCCATCTTCACTTGCATTCCAAACTTCAAGGATTGCGTTATTTCCTTTGCAACGGCTTAGGAAGTACGATGAGAGCAGAACTGGAGCCGACTAAATTTAAACAATACTTTTATAATGAATTAAATAAAATTTTTGAAATTAACCATGTGGAAATTAAAGTTGACATCCTTTCCAGATGAAATCGGACTTTTCAAATCTTCGTCCAACCAAAAAGACTTCAAAACCAAAAACAGGTTGACATCTGTAAATCCTTGGGCTGAGGTTGCAATAAACAGGCTTCTCAAAAGAACAGACTAAAATTTAACCAAGTTTAAACATTTCATTCAAGACTTAAAATTTATCTCTACCTCTTTTAAAATAGGCTCTTTGGGAGGAGACTTTGTTCTTTTCACTTCTCCAACCACTTGGACCTCAGGTTCTGATGGTTCTCTGCTGACAGGTTCGAGTCTTTGCCTCGGAATTGCATTAATTTCCCTGTTCTGTCTCGAGACTGCACTTTCCTCTCCCAAATGCATCCGGATTTTCAGCTTTCCCAGAACAATGTTTTTCGTCGGATGATTGACAATGAGGCTGATGTCACATTTGTTTCCAGTGGCCAGCAAGTATTTGGCCCAGTCAAAAGAGGCAAAACCAAAAACAGTTTCCATCGCGCCGGATTTTTTAATCAGAATCGTGAATTCCAGGGACTTGCTAGACTCGCAGCTGTGCATCTTTTCTTGTTCAAAAGTAATAACTGTAAATTAAAAAAAAAAAAATATTTCATGGATAATTAATAAAAAATATGAAATTGTACCATTGTTGCAGATTCTCTTTGATGAAATTCTGATGGCAGTGTTGTTGACGCAGCTGCGAGGTGGAAGATATTCCACCAAAAAGAGCAAACTTGTGATTCTGGAGTTTTGCTTGAACGTCTGACACAGCTCGAGACCCTCCGGACTTAATTCCAAGGATCCGATTTTCAGTCTCATGCAAGAAACAACCGACAAAGTGCTGTAAATTAAAATATCAAAAGCTTACAAACAAATTATTTATAACTTTTTTTACCTTTCAGTTTGTTCATTTGGGGGAAGATTCAAATTTTCGTGTCGATTGTTTTTCTGTTCCGCCGAGTCTTCATTTATTATCTGCAGCAAGTCCTCGATGCAAGAGGCGTTTGTGTTCTGCAAGGACAGCAGAACTTCAGCTTCTTCCTCTGCCGTTAAAGGTTTTCCTAAATCAAAGTTTGATCAAATAAATAATCAAATATTAGGGAATTTTTTTAATACCCATCAAATAGTTGAGGATCTTCAGCTCTTTAAACTCGTTGTCTTCGTATTCGACGGTTTCTTCAACAACTTCGTCGACCAAATCAACAACTTCCTTCGCAGGTCTCTCCATGTACTCGTTCCAAAGCTGTGCTTGTTCCTGACTGCTCGAAGAGCAACTCCTCGTTCTGGGCCACATTTCGATGTGGGTCAAGAAATGGCCGAGGCCCCTCTGAAATATCGACTCACAATAATTATCCACTTGAGTTTATTGATTTAGATTCAGACTGATGAACTTTCCCAAACTCGAAGCACCAAAACAGTAATAATTATTGTTAAAACAATATTATATTCCGTTAACTTTTTGGTAAAAAAAAATCAGAATAGTATATGTATTCACCGATTTTTATGCCTTATATTATGCATTTGTCGATTGCCTGATTCATAATAATGCTACGTAACTTTAAAGCCATTAAATTTCTGTGCTTTCTTAAACCAGAAATACTTTTCATATACGTGCAAAAGTTGCAAAATAAATTAAAATATAATAAAAAATCTCACCTTTCAGCCGGCTGCGAATTAGGCTTGTGTTTACAAAAATTCTGTCAGCCAATCAGCGTCGAGTGGAAAGGCGCGAAATCGGCCGTTTTACACCATCTCGTGGCAATAAAGTGAACTAGGGGTTTTCTACGCTTTGGAAAAATCACCCTCTGCACTGGCGCGAACGGAACTAACAAAGCACGTTGCATAACCACAAGGGGCTTTTTTAACAGTCTTTTTTTTTCTCAATCTGCGAACAAAATATTCTCTCAGAGAAGATATGATCAATTACCAACAATACTATGTCAGCAAAATCAAATCCCTGGTCTGGTTCATGTTGATTGAAATTTTAAATTTTGTAATGAAATAAAAAAAAAATGCGAAATGTTTGAAGATATTTCATTTTATTTTTTTCTAAAAATCATTGACAACATTTTCTTTCCATCAAGAAAAAGTGTGTTGAAACATATAATTGAGTTTTATATCATTTCAGTAGCATTTGTCCCAGTCAGGTTCAGGTGTCCAGCAGTGGCTGTTCAGCTCTTGCATAATCTCATTCTCCTCTCATGTCTTTGAAGGTGGAAACTGAAATCAAAACAAGTATTTTTTTTTTGTAAGTTTTATAGTAAGGCAGCTGTGTTAATAATATTAAATATAATAATACAACATAATTACAGAGCGTGGACATCAGCATATGTAAATCGAATATGGCTGCATCCAGTTATAGCGATTGCAGCGCCACCTATCGGTGGTTTCACAAGTGTGCTCTTTTGGCAGCTACGTGGCGGGAGAGGCACCGCGCGCACTGTTCACGCTCGACACAAGCTGTGTTTAAAATAATGATAATAAAGAATTCCCTTGTCAATAATATTATTGAATAAAAAAAGTGATAAAAATTCGGTGTTTTATTTAACATTTTTAAGCAATAAAATAATAAAAAAGAGTTAGAGTATACTACATATATATTAAAGTCTTTATCGTTGGATGCCTCAAATATTTGAACCAACCATGGGCCCATCAAAATTCCATACATATGCCAAGGCAGACATTTGAAATGGCTTTCAGAAAAACAGTGCCTGATGCTTGTTTGAGTTTGTTTGCTGCTGTTTTTGGCAAGAATAAATTTCAATTTCCAGCTTCTTTTATTACAAATCGCGCACCGAGGCCAAATGTCAGTTCATTCTCAGGAGGAGTGCAAGTAGCAGCTATGGTGTATTTTTGCTTTGTAGCCGGTTGTGACAGCAAATCTGACACCCACCCTACCTTAAAATTTTTTAATTTCCCATTAAATCTTTCAATCGCCCTCCTATGGTGGTTGCTGTGTGGAAAGCCGGAGAACGAATTCGACAAAACTCTTATCCTGAAGCGTCGAGTGTGTAGTAAGCACTTTCATGATGTGCACACCTGGAATTGCCAAGTTCTCGGAAAGCAGAGCAAGAAGTGCCAGTGCTCACCAAAAGGGAAACTCCCTTGCTTCTTTCTGCCACCAGCTGCTCAATTAATGGAGATTCAATCAAAAATAAATCAATTTGATGAAACAAAAACTGATTCACATGAGGCAAAAAGGTTTGTATTTCACCTTTTCAACTCTTTATCAGCTCTTTATGTGAATAAGTTAAAAAAAAATTTTTAGAAAGCAAAGGCGAAAACCAATAAAGACCTACTCGAGGCAGCGAGAGTGTCAGTTTGCAGACGAGCAAGGTAATTATTAATTTTATCAGACAATTTTTTAATAAATTCAATACATTAAATTTGCATATTTCATTAAAGGAAAGGCAAGAATCGCGGTTGAACATGCATATACAAATTCTAGTTTAAGTATAAGCACACCAACAGCTCTCGAAGAAAAGTCTAATGGAGCAGGTTAATACTGTTACAAGTTTAAATAAATTAATTACCATTAACATCCTTAACAATTTAGAACTCTCCCCGACCATTGAGGAAGATTCGGTCTTCGAAATTCTACCAGAGGTACCAGGGCATCCAGAAAGCAGAGCACAAATAGAAGATCGGGGTGCAAAATTGATCGGTGCAAACATCAGGTGCGAAAAAAAAATATTAATAAATATATTTCCAGATATTTAAATATTTGATCAGCATAAAGAGTATTTTTGTTTTACGAAATATATAAAGCTCTCAAATTTTCATTACGAAGCTAAAATTAAGTCAATTTTTGTTTTTGTTTTATAAAAATGATTTATTACAGTTAAAATTAATTTCAATAATATCAAATTTCCGGAATAAATTTAATTAATAAAAATTAATTTCACCTTAACTGAAAGAACTGAAAAGTAAAAGTGAAAATATGGATAAATTTATATAAAATAGGTATGAATAAGAAGCTGAGAAAAATACTGCCTTTTTAATGCTTTTTAATGAAATGTTAATTTCATTAGGCCCAGCAAGAGAATTCACAGTCAGTCATCTACCACTTCACGAAAAAAGAGAGCAAGTAGAATGGATTCCAAATCATCGGAAGGAGATGAAAATGCAGCCGATTGTGTCCGTGCCCAGATTGATGCATATGAAAAAATGAGTCAAGCCGAACTCATACTGGCACTTCGTCTTCAAAAAAGAGAGAATGATCATCTGAAAATGGAGAAAACAAATATGGTCAATACAGCTAAAGCCAAAGATCTGCTCTGGATGGACACAGTGAGGGAGCGTGATGAAGAGAGGAAGAAAAATGAGCACTTATCAAGAGTCATAGGAAATCTTGAAAATGCAAACAAAGAGCTACATAATAAACTGAAAACGGCATGGAAAGAGGGATCGGAGAAAGGAAAACAGGAGGCAGGAGTTATCCTAGAGGGAATTTTCAGCAAAAAACAGCAACAGGCACTTGGGAAAAAGAAACGAGTTAAATGGGAAACGGATGACATTGCTGGAGCCCTCGCACTCCTCTCTTGCAGCAGAAAGGCCTTTAACTTTGTTAGGACCGTCATGAAAATTCCGCTGCCACACGAGAGAACTTTGAGGCGGTGGGCGACTAAAATTGCAATTATTCCTGGAATCCAAACTGTTGTTTTAAATGTGCTTAAGAAACTCAGCACGACCATGCCCATTGAGGACCGTCTTGTAGGCCTCTCTTTTGACGAGGTCCAATTGTCTGAAAGAGCACAGTACAACAAAAGTTTAGATGCAGTTGTAGGCCCGAACAAACATGCACAAGTGGTGCTCATGCGTCCCTTGAATGGAAAATGGCACCAACCAGTATATTTTCAATACGACGAGGACATGTCGGAGAGCATATACAAAGAAATTGTGCAGGCTCTGTATGATGCAGGATTTACAGTGGTGTCAACAACTTGTGATTTGGGCCCAAAGAACAGAACATTCCTGAAGGATGGAGTAAAGGTGCTTGGAGAGAATGCTGCTCCCTTCTATCCACACCCCAGTAACCCAGCCTTGCCAATTTTCTTCTTCGCCGACACACCCCACATGCTCAAGTTACTTCGAAATCATTACCTGGACACACCACTGATCTTGCCTGAAGGGAAAATTTCATCTGCAGTCCTGAAAACATCAATTTCCTATTTAAAGAGGTAATTTAAGAGCTCTTAAATTCATTTTTCAATTTGATATTAAATTTTAAATAAAATATTATTCCTCATTTTCAGTGCTGGGACGGAAGTACGATCGGCTGACAAACTGCACATGGGCTTGATGAATTTGAACTCAAAGGCAAGGATGAAAGTGTTGCCTGCGGCTCAGTTGTTGTCAAACAGCATGGCAAATGTTGTTCAAGATTTCCATGATCGAGGAATAATCAAGGACAAATCAGCACCGACAACAGTGAAATTTCTCAGGACAGTGGATTGCTGGTTTGACATAATGAACTCGAGCTCAAAAAGCAGCCTGAATTCCACCAACACATTCAAGATGCCTCTAGGCAGTGCTTTGCCAGATCAACAGAGAGCACTTGAAGAGATGAGCAAAATGATTGGCAAAATGTTGGTCGGTAACCACAAATCGTTGCTTCCATTCCAGCAAGGGATACTACTCTCCAACGCATCAGTAATTGGTCTCTATAGGTATTTAAATAAAAAAAAGGGAAAAAATAATTTTAAATAATAAAATAAAAATTTCAGCCACCTTAAAAGTTATTACGGAGTTACGGAGATCCTGACAGCACGTCTCAATCAGGATTGCCTTGAAAGCTTCTTCGGCTGGATACGAGCAGTGGGTTTCAGACATGTCAATCCTACTTCACTGGACTTCTCTCATCGAATTAAACGATATTTACTTGCCAAGCGGGTCTCCCATTTCTCCAACGACACAAACTGCAAGTTTGAGCCTAGCCGGAACATCATGGCTGAAATTCTTTTAGATGGAAACGCTGGCACCTCAAGTCAAGCCAAGGAGGCAGAAGAAGAAGACGGTCAAGAGGGTGACTGCTTCTCTTCAGTCCTACTTGAGCTCGAAGATGATGAAGTGCACGACGACGAAGAAGATGTTCCTGAAGCCAACCTCCCTGCCCACCACCGGAGCATCCAAATGAGAGAGTACATCAAGGATGTAGTTAAAGAGGGCGGTATTGCAGCCATGGCCTCATTTCTGCAAGAGAAACTTCCGTAAGTTATGCTACGAAAATAATTTTTTTACAATTTTGACTCTTATTTAAATAATTTTTAAAAATAATTTTTTATCCGAATCATTTAATTTAAACAATAATTTTTTTTTTTAAATCTCTGCTTTTTTTAAAAACTTATTATATTTTCAGGAATGGTAAAGATACCCCCCAGAGCGTGGACATCCCGAGACTCGCGCGCTTTAGAGGCATACTCAATTCCAGGACCCAATGAGCGTGAGAGCGAAGCGCATGCGGCCTCGCAGAGAAGCAGCGATTCAACTCGATGTTTACTTCCCTCAAAGAGGCGTGTCCGCCTTTTGATTATTTCCAATTTTCGTAATCTATAACCTGTTTTGTTTGGTTTTTATGTCAATTAACCTTATAACAATAACGTATAGTATATTTCAACTCT